AATGAAATAGTACGAATGGAACGTGAAATGGGAACGAATTTCATTCACTAATTTCAATTTTATTCAAAACTTAATAATAATAAACGAGAAAATAGTACACACAAAATTCAAATTTTATAAATTACATGAAATTTACTGATTTGGGTAATAAAATTTAGAAATTAAAAAATTCTCGTTTTTCTTGTTCATTTTAAAATTAAAAAAAAAAGAAAAACGAAAAAGAAAGTTAATGAAAAAGGGATAAGAAAGAAGAGAGAAAAAATAAATATCAAATGAAAAAACATAAAATAAAATAAATAAATACCAGTCATTTTTTCGAGTTTTTTTTTTTTGTTTTTTTCTATTCTAAATTATCTTATCTTTCGCTTTTTTTATTTATTTAACTTTTCTTTTTTTATCAAATTCTATGGCTTCAATTTTTTGTTTTCAGCCAAAAATTATCCCAACGGATTAAAAGAAGTACTTTTTTTTTCCTCTTTTTCTAACTCTTTCTTTTTTCCCCTTTTCTTTTTTTTAATTTTCCCCAACTTTTAAAGTATTTGGGCTTCTTCATGTATGTGTTTTCTATGTGTGTCCACATTCATTTCATCCTACTTTTTTAATTTCCATTTAATTTACGGGAAAAAAAAAGATGAAATTACTAAACGCAAATAAGTATAACCATTTCTCTCGTTTTTTAAATTAATTTATGAAAGGTTTCACTTTTTTTTTCTTCCATCCAAAAATGAGATGAACGGAATAGAAACAAAAATGAGAAGTAGACACTGATTTTCAATTTTGTTATTTTATAAATTTTTTTCTTAGCATTATAAATAAAATGAAAGAAAAGAGAAGAGAATGGAAGAAAAAAGGTAGAAATTGATTTCCAATTTTCTCTCTTTATATATATTTTTCTTCTCTTTTTTTTTTCCTTTTTGTTTTTTTTTGTTTTTTTTTTTTTTATTATTGCAATATTTCGTTTACAATTTCATTTCTCTTTTTCATTTTTCTTTATCCTTTTCTTTTCTGCACTATTGATTTTGAGGGAAAAGTAGGAGAAAGAGGAAAATGAAATGAAATGAAGTATGGATAATGACTGAAGGATAACGAGTCGAGAATGCTAGCAGGAAAACGTCATGAAGTTCATTTGTGGATAAATATGATTGAAAGAAATGATAGTACATAAGTTTATTTTGTTTTATTTTATTTAAAAAAAAAAAAAAAAAAAAAAAACTGGATTAAATTTTTAGATCTTTTCAGAGTTGAACTTTATAACTAGTCAAATAAAATCATGCATTGGAAAAGGAAAATATATTGCAAAAACGAGTTACGAATTTTGTTTGGGTTATAAAATTGAAATAAAAATTTCGTTTGAGTTTATTCCACATCAAAAATCTTTTTATTAAAATTTCACCCGGAACAAAGTTGAAAAACGATAATTTTTTTAAATTAAATTCAGGAAAGAAACATTTCTAAAATCAAATTAAAAAAAGAAAAATTTCTTTCGCTAATGTTCGAAATTGAGCTGTCATTGAAATAAAGTTTTTTGAATGGTTTAAAATTTCATTTTGGTAGAAATAATGTTTGACATTAAATTTTATTAAAAAAAAAGTACAAAAAAAAAAAAACTGCTATAAGTGAGAGATATGAGAAAAGTAATTGCTTTGATAATTAATTGACACTTAATGAAAGTATTTTAAAGAATAAAAATATGTGCAAATAGATGGAATTTAAATATTTTATTCTGTTTTTTTTTTTTTTTTTTAATTGAGAATTATATAGACAATAATAGAAATAATAAAATCATATGCTAAAATGACGATTTGATGCAATCGATCAGAAAGTTGAAATAATAATCAAAAACATCAATCAAATACAAAAAAATAAAAGCAATTTATCTTTACTTGAGTTACTATTGCAACATGTAATATTTGTTAGTTCATTTATCTCGACAATGATTAAATATGATATAGGTTAGAATAATTTTATTTCGGCCATTTTACCATCTCCGTTTTTCTTGGTAAAGTTTTTTTTGTTAGTCCTAATAACTACAGACAAATATAATTATTTTTTGATGATAATATCCTTGACAATTCTGATGACACATGTCATTCATTTCATGCAATATAAATTTGTGGTTTCATTTTTTTAAAAAAAAGTAAAGATATTTATTATAATAAAATAATATCACTAGGATAATTTATGAATGGATTAGGAATATTTATTGCACTAAGGCTATTGTCTTGGTAATTCCTAATCGATAAGTAAACAAGGCATTTGTTGAAATTTTAAAACAAAATTCTAAAAGTTTAAAATATTGGTTTAAAAAAAATTTCAAGTAAATAAAAAAAGAAAAAGGATAGTAGAAGAAAATATGGAAGATAAATGTGAAAATAATTTTTGCGATTTTTTAAGACTAAAAGTTTTAGTCTTTACATATCATATCAGCTTTTCATACAAGCATCAGCTGCTTATCATATGAGATACTTAAATAATAACAAATAATAATACAATTTCTGCGCATAATAATTGGGAACGATGGTAAAACTATCACTAAAACTATTTTCTCTGTCACATTACTAAAGATAACAGTTGTTTTAATCATAATTATGTTATCTTTATCATCATTATTACCATTATTGCTGTTATCATTATTGTCATTAGGTAATTATTATTGCCCTTATTATTATCACTATTATTGATATTGTAATAAATATTATTACTACTACTATTGTTATTATCGTTATCATTAATATCATTGTTATCATTAGTACTTTTATTATTGCTATTATTATTGTTATTATTATCAGTCACTTAGTCCAAAGAATAATTTTAGTTAAAAGCATAATATCGATAGTATTATGACAATAACTTCTCAGTATACTGAGCACTATCTAGATTTATTATTAATAATTGCTGAAAAGTATTTAAGGATAAATTCATTAATCAATAACTTATTTTAAAACATCGGTATATATATATAAGAATAAAAAACCAATTGTTATTTCACTTTTTGATTTAACATTGTAATTAGCCATGCACGTAGACAATCATCGATTTGCATGCATCCTGCACTTTGCATTCATTTTAAACTTTGCTTATTTGATTTTTTTTTTTTTTTTGTTGTTGTGCAATCAAATTTCGCAGAAAATTTTACATTTGCTCGACAAAATTATAACTTACTTTTTCATTCTTCCACTCATTTGTTTTTATTATGCAATCAAATTGCATGCCAAGAGAAATTGTTATTTGGGAAATCAAAATTTTGAATATAATAATAATTCGTTTTTTTTTTCTTTTTCTTGCAATTCTTTTGCTGCTAGAATGCAAAAAATGTAAGCAAAGAAATTATGAAAGGACCAATTTGTACGATAATTTGTGCGCAATAAGAAATGCTTTTCAAGAGAACATGCAAAGCATTTCTTTTAAATTTTAAAGACATAATCAAAAAATTCTTTAAAAAAGTATTTTATATTATAAGTTAATATACATTAATACTTGCGAAAAAAGCAAACAAACAAGAAAAGAGAAAATAAAATATTTTTTGCTCTACGATTATTATTTAAAAAGGAAAAAAGTTTTAAATCATTTTTTTCGAGAAACATAAACGTATAAAATAATTCTTGGATTTATGAATGTAACGGAAAATCTTGATCTGAAAGATTTTTAAAAAATTCGATTTTCTTAAAGTCTTAAATTTATTTTTGAATATAAAAATTCAAGATGAATGAGATGCAGAAATAAGACGAAAGGCACTTCTTTTGTTTTTCCTCAAAAAATGAGAGAAAAATGGTAAAAAAATCATCTTGGCGATTTATTTATTTTAAATGCACTGTTAAATTTTATTAAAAAAACTATCATTTCATTAATTTTTTAGCATAATTCTTACTTTCCTATAGTCATTTCATTTTTCTGATAAAAATGATTTAAATCATTTATTTAATTTTACCAATAAGATACGTTAGTATTAGGAATGAATCAGTTGAAAATTTTTCAAATAAATTTTATCAAATTATTTATAATAAATTTTTTTTGCAATAAATGAAGAAATAATTTAATTAGGCATATAAATATGAAAATATCACACTAACATGTGCTGTAATTCAATAATAGGAAATGGAATTTTTTATTAATATTATATTCTTCAATAAAATAAGCAAATTAAAATAGTAAAAAAGCCAACAAATATATTATGGAAAATGAAAGATTTTTTCAAATGTTTAATCTCCTTTAAAAAAAAGACCGACTTATTTTGAGCTCTGAATGTTTTTAAAAAAGAATAAAAAAATTTTGTACTAAATTGATAATTTTGAACTTTTGCAAGCGATAGAAGAAAATTGTGAAAAAAAAAATTTATGGAAATTTTGAAAAGAAAAAGTTTAATGATAAACTGACATTGAGCACATAATATAATCGAAAAAAATTGACGAGAAGAAAAAGTAGGATATTCCAAAAGGTAGCTTAACAAATTCGAGCAATTTGAAATATCACAAATACGAAAAAATTATTTACAATCCAGGTGCGTGAAATAATTTATGTTGAATATCAAATTTATAGACTAGCAAATTTTCAAACAGAAGCAAATTTTTAAATAAAATTACTATACTTTATTTTCTCTTCTGTTCTTTGACGAAAAACATTTATTGTTTAATGTGATATTATATAGTGGCTTAAAATTTTATAACCTTTCAAACCGTTAATGAAATAAATTGAATTTCTCATAAAGAAAATCATTTTCTAAAAAAAAAAAAAAAATAGAAATAAAGTTTAGCTTTGGATAAAGCAATTAAAAATTGCAAAATATGATTGAAGCAAAAATTACCATTCAAAATTTTTAATGAGTTAATAATGGAAAAGAAATGTTCAGATTCTCTGACATCATAAAGCCTTTAAATTGGAATTTTTCCTCACATTTTTTCTGGTAAAAAATTTGATTTAAATTTACGTAAATGAAGATGTGAATAAAATTTAAGCAAATCTTCTTTTGCAATAATTCAAGTTGGATTTCTTTGCTAAGATAATTAATTAAAGCGTATGAGATAAGTAGCAAAATCAGCTGGTTCCAAAGTGAATGTCATCATTTGATAAGGCATTTCTTCGCTTATTTGCTTGATACCATTCAGTAATGTTTTCTGCACTGTCGTCACACCAAGAGATTGCATTAATTTTTTCAGCGCTGACTAAAGTTCACTTCTACAGTAACCCGCTATTGGATTATTATAATACAGTATGAAAATTACGATAAGAATTATAATATTACAGTGTGAAGCAATTTCGTACTGCTTTTATAATAAGAATTGTAGTTTTTTCTTTTTTTTTAATGTAAGCAACGCATAAATAAGGAAATTTCAAATATATGAAAAGTTTAATAGTAGGCATTTATCCTTGATTATGACAATTATGTTGTGTAAAATTTTAGCAAAACATGTAAAAAAAAAAAAATTTCAATTAAAAAGAATTTTTCACGTACCATAAAAATTTCAAATTTTCAAAAAGAAAAACTTAAAAACTTTAAAAATCCATCAAACAAACATTTATTATCTTTAAATGTTTCACTGAAATCATTCATTCGAGCATTACAATCAATTTAGTGATATGAAAAACCTGATTAGTTACAGTATGAGTTATGTGTTAAAGATATTTATTAAATATAAAGCTTACATCAAGTTCATTTCCATGACATATTGAAGAGTTTAAGGTAGTACAGTCAATACCCGCTCTATGCAATATCATCAATCGTCGATTTATATCATATGTTAACGGACGAATGGTTAGTAATTGCACATCACATGGAAACGATTGAAGATGATAAAGTGGTGAATTTTCAAGAATTCCTCAAATTTCACTCATTTTCTTTTCTTTAACTAATAAGTTATTTCTTTAACAAATATTATTTCGAAAAAATTTTGAAAATTATGAACTTGAGAAATTATTACCCATTATATTATTTATTTTATTGGAAAGACATTTCTATATTTAAACTAAGTTCAGCTTAAAATAAATCATGATCATTGGTAAAATAATATTATCATAGGTGATATGATTACATTAATAATAATTGATTGAAGCAACTAGAATGAGCACATACCAGAACTGATAAAAATATTCGGTTGATAAATAAGTGATTGAAGAGCTAAATGAGCATTAAGCGTATTATATGCAAATCGTCGCTGTTGTCGTTGTTGCTATTAAAAAAGGGAAATAATTTCCTTCAGAAAACTGTTTTATTTTGAAGAAAGATCAAGAAAATATGCTATTAATTTTATGCAACAATGATTAATATTTTATATTTTTGAGAATTTTCAAAACGTAATTTATTAAAAAAATCAAAATTTAAATACTTTTCAAAAATTAAAAATACGTAACGATTACTTTATTATCAGCAACTGTCATTTGTTCTATAACAAATGTAAATGCCATATTAACTGGTAAATTATCTACCGGTAAACCATCATCATTAAATCCGAGGCCTTTTCCATCATCAGTACTTAAGCGACGATCTATAAAAATGGAATGTGGAAATGAATCGTATTGTGTCAATTTTATAGTCAATTATTTTATGATTACATAAGAGCTCAATTATTTTATGATTACATAAGAGCATTAAAATTATTTAATTTCCATCCATTTCAATGCTTGCTAATTCTTAAAATAATTTTATTGCTTACCAAGCATAATTTCGAGATTTATTTTATTAAATGTTCTAACACCATGTGGGACATTGCTAAGAACTGAAAGTCGTTTTGACCGATCTTGCAGTATCATTGCTGTTGGCATTGGATAATAATTCATTTCTGGTCGATTTGATGCATCATATTCAGCTCGTTTAATTAACTAAAACTTGATTTTATTGATATTCACTTAAATAACTAAAATTGGAATTTCGTTTGTTTAAAAAAAATCTGCTCTGTTTTATTATTGGATGTTAGCCTTTAAAACTGATGATTTTTTTTTGTGTAAATTACATCATATGCATACACAAATGAATATGCAAACTCACATTATTCCAAATTTTTTTCAATTTAAGTGGAAAAAAAAAAACCTGATTTTTTAACAATTTCTTCAAATCATAATTATGGAAATAAGTAAATGAGTATTTGAAAGTTTAATTTTTTTCAACACTGCTAAATGCTTGTTTAATATAAAGCAGGTACAGAACTAAATATATAAGTAACTGAACTATAATTTTTCATGCATTGTAATAATTTTATCATTGAAATATAAAATCATGATAAAATGAGAGCAAGCATATTAAAAAAAAAAATAATTGACCAAAGTTATGTTCGGTTAATGTAACTGAAGTAATAGCACTTTTTTTTATTTTTCATGATTATAATGACTAAATTTTGATACATAAATTATCATTTGAACTTTTTCATCAATTAAATTAATGAATTATTTACATAATAAAAACTAACTTGCAAACCATTACTATCAGTATAGTATTCAACATCATCTGCTATCATATCAGTTGCAAATTTTGTGACTAACTCAGCATCTGACATTTTTCGTATATCAATACGAAGTTGCATATGTAAGCGGTTTTCTTCTGCTCCTTAAAACAAACCATTTAAAATTTAAAAAATAAAAATAAAAATAAAGAATTGTTTTTCAACTGATTGACAAAATGCCAAGAATTTCTAATAAATAATTAAAAATTTATTAAAAATCTAACACAGTTTTCTTCTCTACGAAAAAAAAAAAGAAAAAAAAAAGTATGAAAATGGAATACCTGAAATATTATTAACTGAGAGACGCTGCTTTACGAATCTTGATAACGTGTAAGCAATTTGACGCAATGGTCCCGAAACAATAAAAGTTTCTGCTTCAGTCATTTTCAGTTTCTGCAATTTCCCTCTTATTAATCAAAATATTTAACAAAATCACTTCAATTTAAAAAAAAAAAAGCAAGTAAATTATATGTTTCAGATTTCGAAGAATTTTTTTGTTGGTAAATTTATCAATTTAACTCTTTTATACATGATTAATAATTAAATTTAATATATATTTTTTAATTTATAAACTTTATTTAAATCCCTTCTGACAGTTGAACAGCTTCATATTTGCTTAAAAACGATAAATAAATCTTCAAATTAAAACTTTTAAAATGTTGTAATAAATTCATTAATTATTTTTTATCTTACATCCTGAAATAGTGCAAATAACTCTTCACTTACTATAACTTCTGCATCTTGAAGTGCCATTATATATGCTCCGCTAAAGATGCTCTTGTAATAACTGAATTCTTGTTTACACCGTAATCGTTTTGTACCATCTGTTTCAACATTCGTATATATCGCCTAGATTTTTTTTTTTTTTTTGTAATTAAAAATTAATTTTAACCTTTTTTGCTAAAATTTTGAAAAATTACAAATCAACTTCAAAAACACTTCATCCAATTGTATTGTATGAATGTGTTAAAAGTGCAGCTCACACAATCGGAAATACACCAATCATTATTTATTAATTTAGTATCCGATATCTTAGACTTTACTGATTAAAATTAATGGGTAATAAATGATTTAAGATTGCTAAATTGGTCGGTTGAATGTCGATTTTTCCATTTCACCATTTCAGCAGTTTCGCGCCTTATTGTCTTCAAAGTCCTTTTCAACTTTCCCTCTCGATAATTCGTGGTACTGTAGGAATTACTGGAGGGCATTAGTAACCCCTTGAAAATCCTCCGTGATCGGGATCGGGAATTGCAATTATTTCCTTTGAATGTTTACGTTCCTGCTCTTTGTACACATCGCCCCTCGCTGCCCGTGATTAAGCCGTTTCAAAAAAAGCGGAAACTGCTGTTTCTATACCTTTCAAGGATGGTGAATCTTTATTGAAAACGACTTTTGCTGAACCCAGCAAAAGTCGTAACAAGGTTTCCGTAGGTGGGACCTGCGGAAAGATCATTAGCGAGATTCAAAAACAGCACAACAACGATTGATTTATATTATTTTATTAGTAACATATGCTTAAATTGCACAAAAATTACTAATAGTAAATATTAATAATGATAATCTGCGTTGCTGATGTCTATGTTTGACCCAAGTATTACTTAACCATCGATAATAATGATGATAAGGCGAAAGCTTTGTAAAATTAATGAATTTTATTGTTAACTTATTAACTTAATAAGCATTTATAAATTATATGCTACCAACAAAATAAACACAAGCATTATTATTGTCGTTGCTTTTTTTTCTTCAAATTATTTCTTATTTTTAACTCAGCGGTACATTAGTTGGCTCGTAGATGGATAAAAACGTAGCTAGCTGCAATGAACAGCAAGAACTGAGCACAAAAATTTCGAAAGTACGCTGTACATCGATTGAGCTGACCCCCGATGGTGCGTCTAGTTGAGGGTCAGTAAAAGTAATGCTGATATTATTATCAAATAGTTCATTCAAGCGAAATTTTATGCGACTATTTTGTTTGAGAGGAATTATTTGAATGGATAATTTAATGATCGTTAATTGATTAACAACTAATCATTTTTCCATTTATTTTATTAATTTGAAGATGGAAATATACAAAATTTTTATAATATATTCTAATTTTTAAAAATTTTTATTAATTCTTTAAAGTATTTGCAAGAACTAGATTCTGTTCATACCATTTAAAAAATTAACGATGTCTTACGTTCAAATGATCGCAATTCGAGGAAAAGAAAAAATGAAAGATTTTTGTAAAATACCTCTAATAATCCATTTTTAGGGTTTAATTCCACTAATATTCGCTGTGTTTGAAGGAAAAATTCATTTTTGCTTATTGTTTTAACGTGGAAATTGCTGAAATAAAATGAATGCATAAAATGAATCCAACTGTCATTTGCTTCAAAAAAATTAAAATTATAATTCTAACTTTCTAATCAATATTTCAAAAAAAAAAACTCATTAAATCAACTATTGTTAATATCTCAAAATAATATATTTAACAGTGTTAACATAAAACTAATTGCAGATTCTGTTTCTTTCTATGCTGAATTGATTATCTGAAAAAATATCCGGTATATGTTAATCGATATATGCAGCACTCGAAGTACAATAAATAAAGAAGCTGATGAACAAAGGAAGCTAAGTACTCTTAGCCTAATGACCACCAATATTTTTGTTTCATTGGTGTGTTATTATTTTGAAATACTAAAAGAATATAGAAACATGAATAATAGTTTTGATGTCTACCAGAAATTAATAAACTACCGCGGATAATTCCAGAAAATATTTCCTCATCATACACATTGATTGTCAATTTTTTTTTCTGAGACATTAAAAAGCATAATAAAACAACACCTTGAAATATACTTTGTCATTCTTAACGACTTTAATGGTGTTAAAATTTGAGTAATTTCAGTTGTTGCGGCATGATTCTTTTGAATTGTGAAGTGAACAAATGATAAAGCCTTGAGATGTGCAGAGAAAACCAACTGAAAATTATTGAACCAACTAATAATTTCAAAAAAAAAAAAAAAGGAAAAGAAAAATACAGTATAATTGGAGTCTTATAGTTTGGTACAAATTTTAAAATTCTATTATCAACCAATTTGCTTGCTCACTATACGTTGGTGAAATAAATTTTAGCTTTAAAATGCTTTTATTTGTTTGGTATTCAAATAAGTAAATTTTAATTTACCAGGTAACTTTTTGTTAATTTACCACTAACTGTATCAAAATACGGTTCTATTTGAGCTTGAATAGGTCCATTTGTTCCAATTACAATTACGTTCGGATCTGATATTTGCAATTCGATTAATTCCATTCTTCCATGTGGTTGATTGTTGTATATAAGTATTGTCCTATTAATTGACCATTTATGTTGCATATATTTGATGAAAAAGAATGACAAAATTTGATTTTTGATGAAAAAAAATTGTTCTTTATTTTTTGAAAAATTGTTTATATATTTGATGAAAAAAGAAATTGTTTTTTAATTTCACAGCGATATTGTATTTTACATCAATATGTAATACAGTACCACACCTGAAGATTACTGTGTATTAAAAAGTTTTTTACCATAATTAGTATTTTGTAGAGCAAAAGTATAAATTTTTCCTAAGGTTTTTAATCAAATAATGAGGATAAAATGTAAAGAATTACATAAAAATTTGCTCAAATTGAAAACTTTCAAATTTAGATTTAAATTCATCAGTGTTACAAATGTCAAACTTTTAATTATATAAGAGAAATTTTAAAGTATAATATACTTTGGCTGTTCCACAATGACCATCTTTTTGCTACTGCTTTCATTGTATACTAATGGAATATTGTCCTGAAAATTATTCAAAAAATCCAATTTCGCCGCATCTTATAACAAATTTATAAAATTTTTGCTGCACCTTTTATTAATTTAAAAAAAAAAACATTTTCCGGTTTTGTTTCTTAAATCAAAGAAAATTTATTTCAAATTGTCAGAAATTACTATTTCAAAATTATTTGAGCGTAATAATGCATTTAATGAAATACGGAGCATATTTTCAGCAATTTTTATCGAAGCAAAAATGCGCTCTGAATAATCCTTCATAACGTGATTTTTGCTTGTTCCTAAAAAAAAAAAGAAAAAAAAAAACTAACATCTTTTTTTCTATAATTTAATCGAATTTGCAGAAATTATTGAAACAAAAGAAAGGAAAAAAAAGTTCATTTTCGCAAATGCAAAGTAAAATTATAAATTAAATACAAGCTGAAGTATGTCTTCTGTTCAAGATATAAATAATAAATTCAGAAAAAGAGAAAGAGAGAAATAAAAATGATGAAATTTATGATTAACCTGTAATAGCATCGTGATGCTGAAAAAGCGCCAAATTTCGTCGAGCTATCGTAAGCTGCTGTTGAATAATTTGGCGACTTTTGGTTGACAAATTTATTAATGCACTGGCAGTTAGCAAATCGGAGGCTCTTATAAATGACTGAAACCTTTGCATAGTTTCTAATTTCCTTTTTAAATTGCTCACTTTTTTGGATAAAACAAGATTTAAACTTTCAAACTGTAAGAAAAAGAAAACAACTTTAAGCTTAATTTTATGATGAACCCAAGAAGCGAAATAAAAATCACAACATATTAATAAATGATATTTTAAATAGAATTGAGAAATTTTTGAACCCAATATTTTTAGTGATTAGATTAGAAAAGTATAATTCGAAAATGCAAAACTATTCCGAAATTTTAATTTCGCGAAATATTTTAGAATTTTTATTCAGATTCCGAGCTAAAATTATGCATAGCAGAGAAGCAAACTGTTACTATTAAATGAAATTTAATCCAAAAAATTTACATGCAACTCTCGTTCTTGTCTTTTATAAAATGGCCGTGTGGTATAATAACCAGTCCAATAATCACCAGCGGAACATTGATAAGGGAAGAAATCACCCGATAAAGTTGCTGGGATAATATTTTTAATCTTATTGTTTCGTTCTAATGCATCAAAGTATTCCATTAATGTACCAAATCTATATTTTCAATACTAGAAAATTTAAAAAAATATTGAAAAATTGGAAGGAAAATTGAAAAAGAAAACGAAAATGTCTTTTTTCAAAAAATTTCAATTTTTTTACAAAAAGAAAGGTATTATTGGCAAATCAACAAAAAAAAAATTAATTAATAATTAATAAATGTTTTTAAAATTTTTTCGTATATGAAAATAAATGAAAAAGTGAATACTTTGTAGAAATTTTAGAAAATATAAAAAAGAATATAACTTAATTTTTTGACCTCTTTTTTAGGCAATTTCTTATATAGGCTCAGGAATTTAAACGAAAAATAATTTCAAAGATTTAAAATAATCAAGGGAGACATAAATTTTTAACCTAATTTTTGTACGTTTTGAATTCTTATTGATGTAATCAAATAGCAGTATTAAATTATCATATTGTTGATACCATTCCTCTAATTCAGCATATCGAAAATCATCACCCCAAACCGATAATAAAATATTGCTTCCTTGTTGAAGTGACATTTTTAGAAATGCTTTTTCCAGTATTAATGCTCTACAAATAGCAAATTATTATAGCTGTAATTCAAATTGCAAATTTATTTTAAATATTATATTTTTCCTAAAAAAATTTTTAAAAACTTTCTCAAAAAATCTGTTGTTAATTTTTTTCTTCACAAAAATATTAGCTAAATAAATTATTCATTTAGTTAGAACTTTTTTAGAATCTCTAGCAGTCTTACTCAAATGATTAACACTCATCAATTTTTCAGATATGCTAATTTATGCTTTCTATATTATATCCCTTAGGCAAATATTTCTGAATAAAGATTTGATTGAATGAAAGCTAAAGTTTAAACATTCTTTTCACTTACCTTTTACGAATGTTCGAGTCTGTAATCGGTACAGGCGCAGCATTTGAACATGTGAAATGATTTATCCGTTTAAAATCATATTGGCAACATACATCCGGATCCGGTCCGCAACTATTTAGTATATCGTAATGGCTATATGGTAATACATGCGTATACATTTCGTTTTCATCATTTACATCTGAAAATTTAAAAGTATATTAAGTATTCATTATATTAAATGCTTATTTCATTTAAATTCATTATGAAAATTTTATTTTGTGTCCAATTTTCTTCCAGAATTTTCGTAATAATTAATTGATTAATTCTACTTTATAAAACAAATTTTTAACACTAGCAGCATATAGATTAATGGTTCAAAGGTTATTTCTTTTACAGATAAAATATTTCAATTCATATTCATTACGTCAAAAATTCTCTTAACTGATAGCAAAACAAATGGTTTATGATGGAGGAGAAATGAAATAAAGCGAGTAAATAACTTAAATTTTACATTTCAAAAATGATAAATGGTGAATTTTGCATTAATGACTGAATGAAACTACTAGAAAAAAAAAAAATTACCAAAAAATTGTTGCCAACGGAATGGTATTGCTCCATGATAACGTAGAAATGCTTTTAGACCATGATGAATCCTATTAATTACGCCACGTTTGACACCTGTTTTTGTATATAAATATGGCACTGATGGCCCATAACCAAATGGATCATTTGACCACATCACTTCAGCTTGTACATCTAAAAAATTTAATGTTTAATGAAAATAAACTTTAAAATGCTATAATAGAAATACGTAATATAAATTATAAATGAATGCACATACATTTCATTTAAAATAGTCATTCATGTTGATTCAGTTTTTTCAGAACTAAAAAATTAAATTAATTACTATTGCTTAATTAGTACCTTTTAGAAATGTAAACAAAATAGATGATGTAGAATACAAGAACTGAGTAACTCTTTTTTTTGAAGAAAACGATATCTGCAGCAATTTTATGATAAAATTAAAATTACGGATTAAAAAAAAAAAAGAATCTTTTTTCTAGTCAAAATAAGAAAAATGATTGAAAATTCACACTTAATTCATTGTTTACATATTGTTGTCCCTCGATAATATTATCCACAATCGATGGAAAATATGTTGTTGCTTCATCAGTCATTACCCATGAACCGCTTACAATTTCTAACTGTTTGTTTTCAATTAGTCTTAAAATTTCTATGTCATATTTTGTTGTTTAAGTTTCAATTAAGCAATATAAATTTAATTTTCACTGAACAGTATAATTAGATTGTTTTCGAAATTTTTTTAAATAGTCAGAAAGTTACAAAATTTCTTCATTTTATTATTTTTTATTCAATCAAAATATCTTATAAAATGATATATTTTTTATGAAGAGTAATAAATAAATTTAAAAAACCAAAAAAAAAAAAAGTAAACCGTTCATTTGATATAATAGGAAAAATTTGGTAATTGATATAACAATTGAAATTTTTCTGCCATTTTTTTTTTTTTTTTTTTTTTAAAAAAAGATAATATTTTAAATATAATTATTTGATACTTTCGTGTTAAACTTTTGACACTTTCATTTTGCTTTGTCCACCATCGCTCCAAAAATACAATTTCGCACCACATGAAACGCATTCGTGGATGATTTTGCATAAATACAATCATATTATCTAATATAGCATTTGTGTCATTCAAATAATTGTTGAATGTTTTTAGCCAACCTAAAATTCATTTTAATTAGATTCGCTTTTTTTTTCATTGAATTTTGATAATTTTTAACTCTTTTTCAAATTTGAAAATTAAAAAAAAAAAAAAAAAAAAAAAAACCTAAGAAGCAGAACAAAATTTTAGCTTATAAAATTTTTTTTGTAAAAATATGTGTTGAAAATTGAAAACATTTTTGAAAGAATTCCTGTTTATATTTTATAACAATTTTTTGTTTATGTAATTTTTTTTTGCAGAATAAAAAATAATTTTCCACAGAATAAAAAACGACAATGATTCTCATATATAATATATGATAATTTTGCATATAACATAGTAATGATATTATGCTGAATGTGAATGAATTATGCAAATCAAAACGCATCATAAATTGAATCAACCAATTTTATATTCCATATTCATATTCGACTACTACTTCTACTCATACTCTCATCCTTATTAAATCTGGATAAGTGTAGAATATTTCGGCATTTATCCGGTAAATACAACGATTGAAGATAGATCATCAGTTCAAATCTTTCACGCTACTGAGTTTTCGAAAAAAGAAAAAAGTTCTGAAAGTTTTAAGACAATGCGATACATCTGAAAACAATCATTCTTGTAATTAATAAATTTTAATAGTCCTGATTAGTAAATTAATCAGTTTTTAGAATGATGAGCTACATCTGGTTTTTTGTAATTAACATATTTTGAAAATTCTCTAATTAGTAAACTGACATACTTACCTGGATCAACATGTGTAAACGGTAAAACGTATACTTCCGTTACGTCTAAAATACTTTTCTTTCTCACTGTGTAGTGTTGTTTTGATTTTTGTCTCAGACCGATAATTTGTTGAAACACGTCGAAAGTCTTAAAAAAAAAAAAGAAAAAAATTCAATTATTAACAAGAAATAACGATGGCCCAGAAATAAGGTAAAATCAAAATTAAGAAAATGATTGACCATAGAAGAATAAAAGAAGTAACAAAGTGAAATTATAAAATTCAAAAATAATCACAACTATCGATAATAGATAAGGGAACAAAAAACAAAGCTTATTGTGATTTATCATCTGTAAATTAAGCAATTTAAAAATGATTTTCAAAATAGTCTGTGTACTAATTTATACTGATGATTAGTTGAACCAAATTGAATTTTACAGTTTCATTAATTAATAAATATTCAACATAGGTTTTATTTATTTTTTTTTCTCTTCTTTTCATAAAAATTCGAAATTGTGAAATTATGAATGAACGAAAACTGAACATTCTTTGGTACCATTTTTATTATCCTGATAGATTTCAATGTTGAATTTTCTAAAAATTTTTCGAAAAAAATAAAATGAACAAGTTGTGTAAAGCAACAAAAAAATTGGATTAGATCTTTGTAAAATGATTTTCTTTTTTTAATCTTGCAATTTCCTTCTTTTTTATTTGAAAAGTGAAGCGATATTTTCTAATAATGCTTGAAAATTTTTAACAAACATTATTTAAAAAAGAAATTGAAAACAATCTAACAATTCAAAAGAAACTTTTAAATCGATCATTGCAATTAAATAATAATTTTCAACAGTTTACGATCAAAAATTCTAATAAATTTATCAATTCGACTAAGAACTTATAGTGATTAGTTTTTGATAATTTTTGAAAACCTGCTAAAATTCAACACTGATAAGCATATTACACGAACGACTGCAAACTTCCAATCCATACATTAAATTCGGTTTTTGTTTTTATTGGATATGTCTGAGTACATTGAAATGTTGCACCGTCGCTTTGTTCTTCATCATCAAATTTCAACAAATTGAAAATAAATGAAATCGTAAGAAGAATTATTCGAAATTCAATCTGAAATTCAAATTTATCCAAGGAAAAAAAAAAAAAAAAAAAACATTGATTAAAATTCATCTTTTTTCCTATTTAGCGTTGTTTAAAATGAAATAATTAGCCCTTTTTGTCAGTATTGAAATATTTTATAGCAGAAGTTTTCTTTTGAAAATTTCCTCTGTTTACTATTCACTTGAAACTTAAAAATAAGTATACAATGAAATGAGTCATGGCAGTTTTTGTTTTTTAGCATTTTTTTTTTGAAAAATTGAAACATTTAAATTAGGTATTAGCAATTCAAAATGATGTATAAATTCAAGTTTTCAAATTAATGGCAAAAATTTATGGGTAATTAATTATTTATTGCAAAATTTTAGCAAAAAATTGGAATTAATGATTCATACCAAAAATATGAAAAATACGCAAAATCCAGTCATAAAAATATAACGTTTGGTATGTGCAGATAGAAACGGAGTAATTTTTATTTTAGCCATCTTTTCTGCAAATATCAATTATCAATCAATTTAATTGAAGTAATTATAAAGCTTTTTTTAAATGGTTACAGTTTCTTATGCTTATCATTTGTCATAGCAGTAATACGATGTTTCCTAATAGTGATAGAGTGTATGTTGATAAAAATAGTAGAATAGCATCGTGATACTGATACAGTGTATAATCTGCTCAGAATTGACATAATAAGTTTTGCTAATAGTGTGGAAGGTAATCATGAAAATGATGACTTTCCGTACGTTTTGTTTAACATAAAGCATACAAATGACAAAGTTATTTGCTAAAAATTCCCCACAATTGAACATTCCTTCCAAATTAAGAAAGTTAAGAATCACAAAATCATTGTTTGTAAATATTGTTTTTTCTTTTTTTTTTCACTCTTTAAACTTATAAATTTATAATTAAAATCTATTTTTATAGATTTTTGAGATTCCTTTCACTACAACCTAATAATTTTTGTCGCAACCTATTTTTTCGAAGATTTAATTGCTAATTGATTAATTTATATTCGATAATTAATATATTTATACCTATTACAATTTGGGGAAAATTTGCGTATTTCGATAAAAATTTATTTTGAAAAAAAAAAAAGTCGGAAATTGTAAATACATATTTTCAAAATTAAATATAATATAATGAAATAGGAAGTTTTCTAATTTAAAATCATTAAAGCAATATTTAAAATAGGCTTCTAAACTAAAATTGTTAAAACAGTTTAATTCACTACATTTTTCATATTCTTTTTCCATTGATTTAATTTCAGCAACACAAAAAATTAATTTTTAACACGTTTTCTCTCTAACTGGTATACTAATTGTTATTAGTTTTTGTAAAAATTTTGCTCTTTCTTTTTTGCTAAAAAAAAAAAAAATTATATTGCATTTTTATAATTTCAGAAAAATCGATAGCTAATGTAAAATCAGCTATTCAATACTTTGTATCTTTTTTGAAGCGCAATAAGATTGCGCCTTTGGCCATCAAATAAATTATATTACGATAGGATTGAATCTGTATTAAATAACTAAAATAAAAAAAAAATTAAGTGAAACCGTCATATCATCATATAATATTTCTTCTTCGTGCTTCAACTATGTTGTGCAAGTAATTTAATCTCATATAGCAGTAATATTTCAAAACCATATTTCTTCAAAAAAAAAAAAATTGTTAAAATTTCTAAATTTCAAAGATTTTTGTTTTTTTCTTCACAGAAATTAAACACATGTTTTTAAATTATTAGTGACTTCAACTTTTTGCTTAAATGGAAAATTTATGAATAAATTAAGATAAGTCATTCGCAAACAAATTTAGTTGATCAAAAATGGATAAACATTTAAACGAGAAAAAAAAAAGTGTTGTTACAGTTTGGAAATTGCTTGTTTCATAAGAATATTTTTTCAAAAAGTAATAAAATTAATCCAAATCTCTGGATATATAAAGTTTTATTCCATTAGTCAATATTGATTGGTTATCATTTAAAAGTGAATTTTCTCTTATCTTTCAAATATCCTTCATCAAATTTTTTTCAATCATTTGTTAGACTGGTAGATTAGTTAAATGATAAAATGATTGACTAAATGACAGGCATATATTACTATGCCGTTTTTTGAATTTAAAGGAAAGATAAGAGAAATATTCGACATTCATATGTTAAGGAAAATGTCTGATATTAATATTTTTGTTGTAAAAGTTTTCTTTTTTTTTTTCTCTAGAAAATAGCTGGAACAATTTTCAGTATTTCTGAGAATACCAGAATTACAGATAATGAAATGGAAGATAGAAATGAGTGCATATTAATAATCAATAAAAGAATAATAAAGTATTCTGCTGTAAATAATGAACTTAGAAAAAATAAAAAAAATAATTAGCTTATAGTTGATTACAAGTAATAAATTATCAAAGTGACATGTAAAAAATTTATTCCCAGCTTAAAAATTATAAATAAGCAATAAAAGGTTGTAGAGAGTTGAAAGTATTGCGCTAATTAACTTATAATGCAATATAATTAGACAACTGAAATCGATAATAACACTTAAACATTTCAATACTAATTGAAATAATTTTTAGAAAAATTTCAAAAAAAAAATAAAAAGCAAAAATTTTGTTTTCACAACTGACCTATATTGAGCTAGTTTAATCAAATCAATCATTTTTGTCTCTCTGAAAAAAAGGAAAAAAGTAGAATGAAGTTTGAACATTTTAATAAATTATTTATTCTCAAAATGAAAAAATCATTAAAATCCTTAGAGAAAATGAAGTGAAAGGCTGATATAGAGGTGATTTAACTGTGTGAAAATTAAACAATTTAAAGTAAAAAAAAATGAAAAAAAAAAAAAAAAAACGTCTATTTGTCACAATCCACATCACAAAAACAATATTAAAAACAATTCAACGAAAGTGTCGCATGATTATCATGTCAATAATGATAGTTTCAAATAAAAAGGATCAAATAAAAAGAATCACGTGGGTTTCAAACATCGAAAATGATATTTTCAGTATATGAAAGAAATATCTGAATTTTTGGCTGATTATATTTTGTTTTCATTTATTTTTTTTTTTTTAGTTCATTTTCAACAGTATCAATATATTTCTCCTATCTCTTCTAAAATGTAAAAAAAAAAAAAAAAAAAAAAAACAAAAGACAGGTAAAAAATAGGTGAAAAATGCATCTCATATGATTGGAGTTTTCATGCCATTCAGTTACGGAAATTATCATACAAAGTTAGAGTATTGTTTTCGAACCGAAAATTTATTAAAAAAAAAATTCTCAAATCATTGTATTAATTTAAACATATAATTTAATCTAGATGCCAATCATAAATTTATTTATCCCATTCAATGTAATTACTTTATTTGAAATATTTTCGTAACTTATTTCATCCATGCTATTAATGCTATTTTATCATTTATTTATTTATTTAAGTACTTTTTCCACTTTTTCAAACGCTCACATTTCCATTCATCGTTTTCAGTCACAATTTGTTTGAATAACCCAAAAATGCATTTTACTTTGACATTTTGTCAACTTTTAAATGCGTCGAACTTACCAAATGTGTACAACATGCTTTAACATCATTAGCTTTATACTTTGTCGTTGTTCATTATTCTCTATCACCATTCTTTGTCAACATTTTCTTTCATTGTTTCTACCACTAAAACCCATCATAATTTTCTATTATCACCCTATTTCTTCTTTTTTTTTTTTTTGGTTTACTTTCCTGATTTGGAAATCCTTCACTTTTACTAAATCAATGAAAATATTTATTTTACTGCAAAAACTTTTCTTCGTTTAATTCAGAAAACAAAGAAAATAATTATTCTTAGAAGAGTTATTCATTACTAGTTTTCTGTCTTGATTTTTGTTATAAGCTGAAATTGTAAAAGAAACGATAAGAAAAAGAAGGAAAAAACATCAATCCAAAAAAATAATAAATAAATAAATAAAATAAAAAATCATCTTTCGCTTTTCTAGTTATTGACAGATTGAAATGATATGACTGATTTTAGGAGAAATGATAAACAAATAACGACCGATAATTTAAGCAAACATACTTTAGTTCAATTCACGACGTAATTTTATCACTGTGCAAAAAGATTATAACTTACGAGTATATAAGATGTCGTATCAAAGAAAATAAAAAAGTGACATTGAAAACTTGCAGTAATTTTTAACTTTCATTTTTAATAATGATAAAAAGAGAAATCATAGTAACAATAATAGCATAAATAACTAATAGCAATAAATAATAATAATAATGAAATGATTAAAAAAGACAAATGATTCAAAACAAACACAAAATTTAAAAGAATTTTTGCGGCAGTAACAAAATTATTGCATCGGAATGAAAAAAATTAAAAATTAAAGATCGAAAAAGAATTTGAATTCCTTAAAAATAAATCAGCTGAATGTACAAAGAAGAAAAATGGTAAATTTTTTTGTATTTGTTCATTTAAAATAGATTTCTATTCTTCGTATTAGCCTTTACTATTAGCATTAGAAAAAGCTTCGACTGAGAAAAAAATTGTTTTGGTGAAACTTTTTATGGGATGAGAAATAAAACAGATTAAGTAAAAATAATGACTTACTAATAATTACTGCAATAATAGTAATGAACAATGATAATAATAATAATAAGTAATAATAGCAACAATAATGTTAATATTAATAATAATAATAAAAATAGTAATAATAATAATAACAATAATGGTAATAATAATAATATTAGTAGTAATAGCAATAATAATAATAATAGATACATATAGAACAAATATTATGTTATATTGGTAAGTGAAGACGAAAATACATATTAAAATTAGCTATGCAAAAGAGATTTTGACAAGGAGTTTTTCTTTGTTTAAATTGTTTAGTTAAGTCTAACTCAGATACTTTTTTTTTATTTGAACCTTTGGTCAAATAAGCACCAGCAAGACGAAATGAAAAATAACTGGTTATTCATTCAATATTCATTCAAAAATCAAACGCGAGATTAATTCAATGATCCTTTTGTCGTTGAATAGCGTTTGTTCATTTATTGTAGTCAATTTTTCTTTTTGTCAGATTTGATTTCAATTTGTTAAAAAATTTGATCTCATATAAATGAGATTTATTAATGCAATGAATGCTTTTGCAAAATTGAAAACAAAAAAGAAAAAAAGAAATGCGGAAATAAATTAAAAAATCGCTTTGTTCATATATAATATACGAAGCAAATTGAAATTAGAAAAAAAAAAAAAATGATTGAAATTTTCATTAATAAAATGGATGCTTTCATGCTTGTTTAAATAACACACTTACCAATTTTCCCTGAAGCAAGACAAAATGTTCTTTCGTAACTTGTTTTTTTATAAAAAATTCTATTGACATCATAATAAACACCAACAATATATTATAACAGGTGCATTGCAGTATATTACATATTATCTCACCATAATAATTATAGAAATATTATAATAAGCATATTTATAAAATATTAAATATTCGTAACTGAAAATGAAATGTATTAGGATAGGATTCACGAACTATATTATATGATACTTAATGATAGATAGCAAAGCAAAAGTCCTATCAATGCAATTCCTTGAATTTTATTATACTATACGAGAAAGTAAATAGTATAAATCAGCATCCTTTTATGATATAAAAATTTTGTAAACACACTTTTCATCTCTCATGTCTCTCCTCTTACTTCCATAATTTGATCTAATACTGTTTCAAGTATCCAAGACTGCAATCTTTCTGTAAATTGTATTTCATCAAATACCACTTACCACCCTCTCACTTCCTCTATTTACAATTTGTTTAGCGCTTTCCCCTTGAAAGTATTATAATTAAACTTACTATTAAATTAATAAAAAGGTTTACTTTTGTGCTATATAACTTTAGATGTCCTTGCATATTAATGCAATCTTCAGGTTTCAATTTTTGGAAAAGAAAGAATACGGAACAAAAACAAAAGCTAAATTCTTTTTTTTTTTTTTTTTTTTTTTTGGTATTTCAACTCATATAATATTAACACTAAATTTAGTGGTTTAACTGTAGTTTGTTTAGAAGGGTTTGCATAATTCTATTTACAATAGTATTCCAAATGATACTATTGTAGTGAGAGATTTGAAAGTAGAAAGAGGGGTTAACTGTTTGCTGTTTGCTATAATCCCCTTCACATGACTGTTTCTAATAGAAATATATAGCAATCATTTGTCATTCTCATCCTTTTCAAGCATTTCACCGTTTGATAGAAAATCCCAGCTTTTAATACCACATCAGAAAACTGGATGAAATTTCGAAAACTCCTGACTTCCTCAGCAACATAAATTGTTACTAGTTCGATAAAAATTAACCATTAAATTCGCAAAAAAAAAAAAAAAAAAACAAAACAAAACAAAACAAAAACATATACAATTCACAAAAAGAAGTTCACCGGTTCAAAACAATCAATTAACAGAATAAAAGAACTTCGCATAATCACCTATCACATCATTACAACGAAGTAACAGACAAATTTTTTCTTAAGTCATCCAGCAATTTGGCAGTAGTAAGTGCAAAATTACTTTCAGAACCATAACTTTCGCGTATCATCTTCAAAGCCTGAAAATTTCGTAAAATTCCATATTACCATGAATTAAATGGTTAATGGAACGCTAAGGACATTTGAGAAGGTCACAAAAAAATGTGATTTTTAAAAAGCTTAAAAAAAGGGATACTGCAGAACTTGTCGGAAATTTCACAAATCTTTCACAAAAAAAAAACTCCTAGGTAAAGGATGGGTGCGGAGATTGTGAACTGGTAATTACTGCTATTCCAACAAGAATATATACTACGATAATAAAACAAAAAATAGATTTAAAAGGAAACAGGAGAAAATACTGGGAAAATAATAATTAGCAATCAGCAAAAAAATGTGCATGACTCTATGAAATGTAACTTTTTTTTTAAAGAAAAATAGATTTTCTAGTTTAAAAAAAAAAAACAAAATATGCAAAAATATGCCGAAAAAACAATTTTAAACACAGTGCTTATTTAAAATGGAAACAGCGAACCTCTCGTAGTATGGGAAAAGCTGCCTCATCTTGTTGCAACATCAACAACTTTGCATATTCAAGCATGCGCGCAGGAAGTGGAGGAAGACCTTTTGGATAAAATGTCCTGAAAGACTGCATCAACAACCAAGTGAAATTTTTAAGGAAAAACATACAAAAATACAATATATTTAATGAATATAAAGTTCTCAAAATTTTTTTAATTGAAAATGAAGTTCTAAATATTCATCTTCATGATTGTCATTAAATCCTACTAAATTTAGAAATTCAATCATTTACTTCCTTCAAAATCTAACCTGTAGCAAATGAGGGTTTTCTCGGCATACTTAGCTGCTTCATCGTATTTATGATGTTTCATTGCTGAGATCATAATCTTTTCCGCAAATTTGCAAAGAAGGACGTTGTATGGTGAGAAAACTTCTTCAGATTTGTGATATAAATCTATTAGCTCATTTAAGTCCTTTTCTGTTGATCCTTAAAACAACGGAACAAATAAAGAGAAAAATATGGTTACGATAAATAAACTTCAATGTCGTATTGATCAAAAATAGGTTTGCACAAACATTACAACAATCTTAATTTCTTCAACAGATATAAATCTAAATGATTCCCATTTTTATAAAACCAAACCATCAATTGTCAGCTGTTGATACAATTTTTGCAAATGATCAAAATTGAAAACTGATATTTCGCCACAAACTTTACACCGCGTTTCTGCCTGTTCATCATCAGGACTATATGGGCAAAAACCATCTGTGCATTCGGAACATCGTAGAGAGTATTTTTGTCGATCCTAAAATTCGCTTAAATCATGAAATTATTAGCGTTTGAGAATTTAGAGATAATCATGTCATACTGCTTAATATGCAAACAGCTTACCAATTCAACGTTTTGACAAATTTCACAATTACATATAAAATTGTGCTGCAGTTGCAGGTACTTACATCGTGTAGATGTAAGCTCTAACAGATCACAGTACGGAATGCGTAGCTGTAATTTATATCTTAATATACAATTGCTAAGTATTAGTTGAGTAAATCAATAACATCTTATAAAATTGAAAAGACAAAACAAAATTCAAACTCCGAAAATATAAACCTCTTTAAGAGACTTCGAAAACAAGATCTTTTCTAGTATGGACGGTTGGATTTGCTCCCATCCATACAAATGGCTATCTCGTACAGTAAAACGAAAAAAAAATTTTTTTTAAAAGATAGTAACAAACGTTATTGTTGTATTCTTTTATATTTTTATTCAACGATCTTAAAATTGCTTTCGTACCACTGAAAATGACGAATGCATCTGGTTTACAACTATGATCCAAAGCTGAAAGTCTGAACAAAAAGAATATCAAAAAGTAGAATGATGGAGTTAAAAAAAATTAAGATAGCGTAACATGGAAATGATAATATTGCTTTTAGAAAGAAATGAAAAAAGCAACAAACTCAAATGACACCGATGTGAAAATGGTTTCTTAACAATTTTTAACAACGTTTTCTTTTTGATTGTAAAATTTTTTATTCGAAGAAAAGTGAGTAAAAATGATAATGATTTTAGGTCTCGAACATGATATAAAACTTTTAATATTGGAAGAAATTTGCCTTCCTCTTGGCTAAACAGAAAAGAAAAAACCAACCCTAGATAAACTCCAATACCAGTCCTAGTTAAACATGAGTCGGTGATTACCATTGTATTGATTATAATCTGTAATTATTTGAAGAAAAAATAAAAATAATGATGACTGCTCAACAATAAATTATATAATTTTAGAATTCTTCAATTCTTTCAACAACTGCTAGCAACAAATAATAATATAACATTGCTTAATATTAAAACAAGAAAAAAAAAAAAGTAAGTTTTACTCTATAACTTACTGAAACAGTTACCACAAGTTAAATCATCCTTTACATCAATGAGATTTAATATGGTTAATAAAAACGATCATTTTCTTCGTATCTGGACGACCAAAAATATCAAAAAATTTAAACAATCATATCATCTCAGACATGTCTTTCAGTGAACTTCTAGATGATAATCGTCGCCGACAGCTAATTACTCAGTTTTGGCATAGATCATGAATAACTGAATCATTTTAATGGGAAAAGAAGATATAAAAATAAAAAAATTAATTGAGCTTACTCTACAAAAAATATTGAATATTTCGGTGCTGGAAGGCATCTCGTCTGATGGAAGATAATCTTTTATGACATATGCAATAGACATAAATCCATTCCTCTTTTCCTCATTTCTTTCGATATCAAGAATATCTTTAAAGTTATTAAATACTTACATTTGATACATCCAAATTAATCGAAGTGACAGTCAAGCTTTGGAAAAAGATTATCTATAAATACTGACAAATTGTGTTTACTTTTAGACACTACATTTTCTATATGAGTTAGCAGCGTCAAGTTTTATGAATCTGAAATAAAATATGTCTTCAATATATCGCTTTCATTTTACTCCCTTAATTCTGTTTGTAGCAAAAAAAATAAACAAAAAAGCAGTGCAAGAGAATGCCAGTGAAACCTCAACAGGAACCTTAAGTTGATTGCTGAAGATTTACACATGTTGAACGAAACATACGCACCTTAAACTTGAAAAAAGCCTAGAATAAAGTTCTAATCCCAATCAAGCTAAACCAGCAATTAAGCACAATTTTAACGGTTTCAAACAACATACAAGTAGAATTTGGTGATAGCCAGCACCATGGACTTTTTTAACGCTTTCGAGGACTACCACACAACCCATCTTAAGCATGTCTTATTCCAGAATATACGAGATTCTGGCAATCAGCTGAGAAAAAAAAAATGAATAAAACTCACGACTTTCTAAGGAAGAAAAAATACGTCCATTAAAAGCAGGATTTTTATCACCACAGTGTCGTAATGTCGTGATTATCCGACCTAATAATCGAGATAATGCTTCCGGAACGCGTGGCGCTACACGTGACAAATATGAGCATTCTACCTGGAAAAAAAAAATAAATTAAGCAGTGAATACTGCACTGTAGTAGATATACTATTTCCAAAAAAGGCAGGCAAGGAAAAGCCTTCAAAGTATACCGATCACACAAAATTTACAGCTTTTATGCAAATCATATTCATACTTTAGGTCCTTAATTTTTAACAGCTAGTATTTTGAGGGTTGTTTCACGTTTATGCATTTGACTAAAACTTTTGTCCGAATTCTTATGCATAGTTTCTAAACCTTGTCATGGTTAAAAGAATATAACTAATACCTTGTTATGGTTTAAAAAAAAAAGGATATAATCCACTAGTAGTTGAATTCTGATTCGTGACCGGAGAAATTTTCATATGAAATTCGTAGGATATTCGATAAATTCTACTCAAAGATTTCAACAATCTATATTAACAGCTAATATTTAACTTTTATTTGACACTTACTAGTTCTATTTAAAACCCCTTTCTCACAAGTAAGCTACTGATATGACATTTTTTTTTTGACAAGTAGCATGCAAAATTGGACTTGGGTAACAGATGAGTTTAGTAAAAATAAGCAAACCTTATGAATACGCCAATCTTTCTTTTGACACTTCATATTACAGTAATGGGTGAACTTACAACGAGCACAACGACTCAACTGTGTCACATTAACTCTAAAACGGAACATTTTAAGCAACACAGTTTGCAAGGATAAAAAGTAAAGAATACAAAAAAAAAAGTTAAATCTGATCAATATCCAAACAAATCAGTGGAAAGCAACAACAGCACGTTTGACTATCTTTCATAATCTTCAACTTCTATTAGCTATTTCAAATATCCTCTGCGAATTCCACAATTTTCAAACTCAAATCTTATGAAATTGCTTAGTACAAGTGGCAAATAAATATACCGAACTTTCAAATTCGGTTTCATGTTAGTCTGCTAATTTGAAATTTTAAAGTTGAAGTTAAAATTTCAATTTGAAACTTTGTTGCATCTACATCTAACCTTTTTCTATATATTTAACTGTTCTACTGAATTAACTCCTCTTTTTTCATCGCTGTATATATATTTAAACTTCAACGTTAGAACACGTAAATGAAAATCTTTATAAGTAGGACTAACGTGCTGTTAGAAAAAGCAATATCGAAGATTAAAAATTCAGCTATCACTACCAGGCTATTCAAAACAGATAAGAAAAACTAGGAAAAGATTCTTTTTTCTGCATATATCCAAGCAAAAGAGCCAAAGCAGACGATAAAACTAGCTATAATCACTAACCTCGAACCATATGTTTACATAATTATAAGATTAAAAGTATCCTAGAGAAAAATATAATCGAAATATGACAAGATATCGTTTCGGAATATGACGATTTCTGTCAGACTTTCAGTACAACTTACGATCAGTTAAAATTACCTTTCCCATACCGGTATCATACAATAGGCGCAAACTCTATCTGCAAAGTTACTGTCAACCACATGCGCAAATGGCGTTTCCTCAACCAATGTAGTAATAGAAGCCATTACTTCTGAAAATGATAAATTAAATGAAAGCTTTTTGCTTCTAAAAATGTACTAAGTTAAAATATGTGTATTTGCTGTATTAATAAATTGCTTAAAATTACTTCAGTTAATTTATCAACAAACTTATTATCTTAAATGCAAAGTTATGTAATAGCAGAATTGATTCCATAATATAGCTGATAAATAATGATAATTCTCAAATATATTAAGCATCCAATTTTACATTATTTGAATGCGCATAGCGGAATTAAAATTGTGGAAATAAAGGAACATATTTAGCAAAACCAATTTCGATTTGAACTATATTCCTTTCTTCTTAATATGATTTTAAATGCATTCGACAGGCAAACTGCAACAGCAATACCAGTAATGGTTGATAATTTTTTAAATCGGATGCATTTCATATTTCAAAAAAAGGGAAGGAAAAAAGGAAAGAAAAGGAAAAAGAAAAATTCAAAAATGTAAATTTGATGCTTTACGAAATATAACACAAACGAAGAGTGTTTCATAGATCAATGACAAAATGAAATTAGTGTATGCAGAGAAGCAGCCATGAGATGGATTTATCTGAAATGAGTTTTGAAAATAAGTTACTTAAAGTTGTTAGCATTGACTGTAAATTTGGTTTTCGGAAATTAATTTGTCGTTTTAAAATCAATCTGAGTGTAATATTTACCACAACATAATTTTATATTTTTGGAAAAATGAAAAAAAAAACCACTTATCTTCTACATGTCTGTAACGTATAAACAAATATGCGGTAATTAACACTACATACATGCACTATATCAAGACATGTTTGCATGCATGCATGCATTAAATGAATTAATAGTATTAGATATTTCGAACGGAAGACAAAGCTAAAAGATTCCGAGATTTTGTTTTATAAGTTTTTCTTCTTAAATTGATTTAATGGCTCTAAATTAATAATCAGATTTTCTCGAAATTTTACGTAAAATAACAAGTAAAACAAATTTGAAAGAAGAAAAAAGAGGTTCTTTTGGCTTTACGTGACAAAAAGACATTACGTAGTGAAGGTGTTATGTGATTAAAAAAAAGGCTTACGCGACAAGAAAAACAAATCAAACATAACTGAAAACGAGTTTGCAAAATACGATTTTTTTTGTTTTTCCCATCTTCGTAACTATATTCATAAAATTTTATATAAATAAAAAGTGTTCCTCTTTGAAAGAGGAAAAGAAAGAGAAAGAGGGAGGGGCTGCTTTAATCAGATAAAGTTTAAATATGCTTTGGTTATTATTCATATTTCTGGTATTAGTTTATTAACTGAAAAGTAAATTTTATGGTTTAATATAAATCAATCTGAAAAAAAAAAAGGAAAATTTTTTTTAAGACGCGTTTCTTTTTTTCAATTAATCTAAAATAAAATTTTAAACTTGTCTTTAAAACTTTTCTTTTAAGTTAATTTTTTTAAAGGAAATAATAATCGATGATTTTCTTAATTAGTCTTTTTCTTTATTTATGAGAAAATGAAAAATCAAATCGAAGAAATAAAAATTCATATATTGCATGAATAGTTGTCGACGAGATTCTTGATCATTCTTAACTCTGTCATATCATTGGTCACTAATATAAATGAGTAAAAAAAAATATTTCATATGTCAAGAATGCTTTTTCTTTCTCATCAAATAAAAATAAAATGTTGTAAATGCTTGAAATCTAATTAGAAATGCTCAAAATTGTAATATTATATACGAATAAATGAATGAAAGAAATCAATTATTGGGTGAAGGAATTAATAATAAATAAAATATAATAAAAATAGGAATGAATGATTAAATGAGTGATTTAATCAAAAAAAAAGTGATTAATTAATTAAGCAAGCAAATGAGTGAATGTGTCGTACGTGATATAAAGCAGAGTCACGCGAGAACGCTGATTTCAATAAGAACAAAAGTAGACGAGTTAACTATTAGGAGAATCAGAGAAAGTAGAAAGAAAAGAGCGGAAGTGGACAAATAATGATCAAACGGGTGAGACTAGCTATTAATGCGTGAAAAAGGGAATGTACACGTGATAGTAAGCCACGTATGTATTAGTATATATTAGTAATCACGTACGCATATATATCCACTGCTTACATTTTAATTATATATAAATTAGGAATTATTTCTTTATATGTGTGCTGTGAGAGCATTCATTTTAGTATTTTACGTAATTTTAGATTTCATTTTAGTACTTTACGTTTTTGAATGTTGCAGAAACGTAACTTTGTGTAATTTCATAAGTGTTTGTTTACTGTATACTAGTAATTATGTAGTGTTGCAGTTTTACATTGGTATTAGTTGGCGCTTACGTTTTGCATTTATTATACCTAGTTACACATCGAATAATACTGTGATCGAATACAATTATGCAACGTGATACATCATCCAGCGCACCAAAATATCGTAGCTTCACGTCTACTCGTGAACGTTCGCGATATTCTGGAAATGGGACGAAACTATCTCTTACAAGTTGCATCATTTTTTGTAAGTTTACTTTGACAATTGTTTAACGCTTTATTTTTATTTTGAAAAGATTTCTGTGCAAGATTTAGATGTAAGCATAGGTCTGCATAGTGTTTAATATGAAAGAATTGTGCTTTGATTATTGTATTCTTTCTTTTAAATAAATCTTTTTTTTTTTTTCATCCTTAAAGGAAACTTTTATGCATATACTTAAAATTTTATTGAGTGCAACTTTCTTAACTTTCTTGTTATAAAAAATTATTCGAATTGCCAACGGTAAGTTTCTCTTCATGTATATGGATGCAGCTGAGATATTTGACCATTGGACACGAACTCATGTTTCTCACGTTCCGTACGTTACCTATTAGACACGTTTTTAGACAAAACATAATTTGCACATAAGATGTTTTCAAAAAAAAGAATGCTTTTGATGCTAGTCAAGAGATTCATTACCAAAAGAAGTCTGTATGTTATTATCTTAAATTTGATAATTCATAATAAGCACAAAATTGAAAGGAAAAGAATAGATTAGAATGAAAAAATAAAATAAAATGAAAACAGACTATCACGTCAATAACCATCTCGTTGACACGTGTTCAATTTATATATACCTGCAGCAGTTGTGGAAGGTCGGGGTAGTGCACGTGGTGAAATTGGACTTGCAAGCATTGATGCATTATGCAGTGAATTACACTTATGGCAATTTATCGATTCTGCATCTTATGCACGACTTCGAATTCAGTTTCAAATTCAAGAACCTGTTGAGGTTTTCCACATAGTTATTTCTTATTTGTTCAATACGTTGTTGCTTTTCAGGTAAGGTTAATGTTCCATTCACTCTTCATCACATAGCACCATAATGAATAATTTTCAGATCATAATTCGAAGAGAAAATGCAATGTATATAAAGGAGTATTTTTAAAGTTAAAATGTTTACCTGATGTTTTACATCATCCTATCTCGTCATTTATTATCATAATTTTTTATAGGTTATTGTTCCGGAAACTTTCGTTGAAAAGGCTAATAGTATGAATCCTGTGTTGGAATTGATTCGTAGCACTTATCCAGAAGTAGAAATCACGATGATTAATAGGCGTTTTTTCAAGTATATAATTTTCTCATCTGCTTATAAAACGAAATTTAAAACTTAAATCTTATCCTTTAAATAAGTCGTTTTAAAATATTATTTAGGTCAGAGAATCTTTATCACTTCCTTTGCTTTTTGAAATTTCAAATGTTATGAAATGTGTCGCTCGAATTATTGTAACTATAAATCGAGATTAAGCACCTTAAAATATGCGAACACATAGTATGTACAATTTATCATCATTTTCAGCGATCTGAAAGGGATTGAATTGTTAAAACAACTAAGTTCAAGTGAATCGTCCAATATAACACCAGAAGTATATAAAAAGTTTGTTTCTACAGAATTGTCAAAAATACGCAAAATTTACAAAGAATTTTCAAAAATATAGGGTCTCGAATTATAGTATTTGTTTTTTTCATCGTGTATACTTTCTGATTATTTCAAGAATGCTCAAAACATCAATTTAATACTACTTTCATGGTATTCTGAAGCTAGACTTGAATTTAAATGTAGGATTACGATTTCGAATGCATGCAAGATGCATTTGCTGTAAACTAACTGTCTTCTTCCCACATTAAAAAGTACGCTACTTCTCGGGGACATCAACAATTTCTTCCTTGTACATTTACCACTTCTATCACTTTTCACTAAAACGATCAAGTTTTAACATTCTAATAATTTTACTCTTTTTGCCTGTTTTCATATGAATATTTCATGTTATTAAAAATTATAGATACTACTGTATGGCAGCTGCTGCCGCATTAATCAAATATGTGGAATGCATACAAAATATATTATTTGCTCAAAATTCGCTGAAAGTTACTTATCTTTTTGCAGAGAAATCTTGCTTTATAGGTGATTTTTTAATAAATCATTACTATGAAATAATCATTTTTTTTTTCATAGCTTATTACTAAATAAGCTATGAAAATAATGATTAATAGTCTTATGACGAAGGAAATTCAGTGTTTAAAAAATTTGTCTCCTAGTTATCTAATTTTGTGCATCTCGAATGATTTTAGATATGCACATTTTCTAATACTAAATACTAAACATTGATATAGCTCTGATATACCACCACCTAACATTTCATATTAGTTATTGAGTGGATTACGTAGAAAATGACTTGAATTGTTATGTTTATTTGGTGAAGCCTGTAATTGCAGATGTCAATACCATGAGAAATGTGGAAGTAGTGGAACGTATACATCTTAAGCAAAAAACATTGGGTCGTAGTCTTTTCTCGGTTTTGAATACATGTTTGACTAGTGGTGGAGTACGATTGCTTCGTAGTAGTTTATTACAACCTTCAGCCGACTTATCAATGATTGAAACACGCTTGGATGCTATTGAAGAACTTATTAGCAATCAACCGGTAGTTTGTAGATTTGTCAAAAGATCGAAATTTATGTAATTTATTAAACCAATAATTCACTTCAAAAAATGTTGCTTTTATAGAAATTTGATCGTTTGCGAGCAATTATTGCTGGCATAAGTGATATATATCGATTAATAACAGTTTGCTGTTATCTACAAAATCAAAACGAAACTGTTCGTATAGTTGAGCATCGCATCACTCAGGTTTTCTTTATAGTTTGAATTAAAGCACGTGTTTGAGTTTTTATCTAGTGAATATGTTTTCCTCTTGAGAAAAAAAAAAAAAATAGACAGAAAGTGGTTGAAAATGGATAAAAAGTCGAAAAAATCTAGCGTTTTCAATAAGGTTAAGTTAATTATTTGATTTTAAGATCTAAAGAAAAAAAAATCTCAAGAATATTTGAAAAAGGCTAAGCTTTTCAGATCCTGAATTTGCAACAAACACTACATTTGATTAAGCCGTTAAAGGATGCTTTAAAAAACAGCAGGGCTCATTTGTTTCGTCTATGTTACAATGTACGTCGTCAACTTTTTTTGTTTTTATTTACTCATTCTTTAAAACTTTAGCGATTTTTATAGTTTAATTTATAGAGATTACATTATTCGGCCTTTTCTGGCAAAAAATTAAGAAATACTGTTTGCCAACAGTATTTCTTAATCTTTTTTCTTTACTAAGTCTGATAAACAAAAGTTTGATTTCATACTTGGTTTACTCCTACAAAAGTAGTTATGACTAGGTCTTCAGCGGAATTAACTAACTTCTAAATTTACCAAAGGATAATCAAGTTTCTTGTTGTCTTTTGTCTCGTAATTTGAATAAAATATTCTAAAGCAAATTTATTGTTATTGTAGTGATCCTCTAAAATGGGCAGAAATATTACAGAATCAGAAATTTGCATAACTTACATATTTTCAAGTATTTTAAAGGAAATTTGTTTTAATCAACTTTTTTTCTGAATATTTTCTTTTTTTTTTATCTACAATAAAAATTCATGACTTGAAGCATTTGGACGATGAACGATTCGAGAGCATAATGAATATTCTAGATGAAAAACTGAACACAACATGTAAAGTAGGCGAACGGTCATCTTTAGCATTACGACAAAAACGATGCTATGCAATTCGAGTAATTTTTCCCTTTTGTCTTTTTCTCACTATTTACGTTTATTATATCTCTTTTATTTCCGTAGCATATATTTCTTGAGTTTTCAGGAAAAAATGCTTATATTGTTTTTGGAAATTTTTTAACAATTTATTTTAGGACGGAATTGATCAGATGATTGATGTGATGCGAAAAGCGTATGAAGAGCTGTTACGTGATACGCGCGGTATGCTTGTACGATAATAAATAAAAATATTTTCTAGTCATCGAACTTTTATAGTTACTCATGATGGATATAATTTTCGAAGCTTCAGAGCAGTCCTAGATTAACATTGGCATCTCGCATATTTGGTGTAAATTGGCATGTCGCATATTTGATTTTTTTGCACTTAAAAAAGATTTTAGAGAAGTAACAATTATTAAGATTAGTGAAAAGTATTTAAAATCTCAAAGTGTTTGTTCAGCTACTTTCTATGCTTAACCCTGGAAATACTAGCAAATTGATGATAACCTTACTAACTATCAACTTACATATGATTATTTTAATCCTGATGAATTTAATAGTCAAGGAAAGTCAAATTTGGCATATTTCCTAGTCCCGAAAAAAAATGGAGATTTTCATCGTTTGTTTGACTATAGCTTCTAATTTTGCTTTTCCAAATTCTATTTCTTTTTTTCTGAGTATCTGATGTTGATGTTGAATTGATTTAGTTCTATTTTTATTTTGGTGTTTTTTTTTTTTTTGTATTATTTGGTTTCTTTTTATTATTCTGTTTACGTTATGGTCTTATGGTCTGTTTTATTCTGATTTTAAGTTAATTGATCGTGGGGCTTACGCAAGAAAAATGAATGCATTCTCTAGCATGAGTTGTAAGTTTTGCATATCTCATCTTTCAAATAAAGTTGTAACAAAGTAGGTTTTATATATCTCTCAAATTTTGCAGAAAAGGGTAATGAAGATGCAAGCGAGATATCGGAAGCGAAACTTATCTATACTGCAAGTCGTGGTTTCCATTTTTGTATTCCTTGCTTGGATCCTGTTGCTAGAATCAAACTGCCATCACAATTTATTGATATGGTCAGGAATCGGACTTCTGTTTCTTGCACAACTCGTTCATTATTACGCTACAATGGTTGTTTTCTTTGTTATATGTCTTATCTGTAAATCACTTCATAAACTATTCTTAATTAATTTAAATTACAAAAAAGAAACAAGGCGACATAATTTTATGTTTTTTGACATTAGGAATATTTTGAAAACTGAAAAGTTCAAAAGATTGTTCAAATAATTTATAGAAAGAATCGATGAAGTGGTTAACGAAATAACAATTAGGAGCAATGTGATAGTGGTTGAACTATTGAATAAGGTATCTATTCCAGTTCTGTACTATTTAAAAGCATAAATTGTGAACTTAAACACTGACAGTAATATATTAATCGCTTCTTAGAAGTATCGACTTTTCATACTCAAAGTAATGCGAACTTCTTTATTGTTTTTCAATTATAATGATAATGGGAGAAACCATCAAGTAACCCGTCATGTACTGTCGATACCGAGATGATAACTATTTGACTGAAGCTAGTGGGATTAATTCAACAAAAAAACGATCCGAAAAAAGCGCATTAATTGTAGTTAAAAATATATGTTCGGGTATACGAATGTATTCTTAGTTTGTGGTTAGTACATAATTTGATTTACTAATTTCGATCCTTTCAGCAGTGAATGCATACCTGAAATGGAAGAAGAAAGAAAAAATAGATTAAGTTATGATATTTTAGATCCGTTTAATGATTCCATGTTTATATCATGCAATTGAAGCAATATCGATGGTCGATTTTATTTCATCTCTTGCGGTATATGCTATGAAAATTCCATCAGGTGCTGTTCCTTTCTGTCAAAGAGTGTCATTCCTTCCATAACATTTCAAATGTGAACATTAGTTCAATCAATGAAATTTGTTAAATTTTTCTTTATATAGTTCGACCATCATTTTCTCCTTCAATGTCGATGATTATCAAACGAGGAAGACACCCACTTTTGGATTTGGCAAGCGAAAATTTCATTCCAAATGATGTTGTAGGTTTTCTCATGTCTATCTATCAAGCACACTGTAAAATATACTTTTTACACTTTTTTTTTTTGAAATTGGAATTTTATCGAATCTCTTTCTCATTACATTCAGATACTAATAAATGAGATCAAATGCTTTTCATCAAGTATTGGTATAAATGGTTGAAAATGAGAGTTTCTTGAGCATGCCGCTGTCAAAAATTCAAGAAACTGCGTAACTTTAACAGAAGATTGTAGTTAAAAGTTAAGAAGGTCAAGAAATTTTAACTGTCAAGAAGAAGTCAAGAAACTTTAACAAAGTTCAAGCAACGGCAATAATCATTAAATTGACATTAAATAGTGAGATCACAGGTTGACTTGTTAAGACATTATTGTTATTATTACTATTATTATTGTTATTACTAATTATTATTATTTTCTTAAAATGCTCAAAAATTAAAACCAAAAACCTAATGTTGAAGCATGTTTTTTTTTTTCTTTTCTTCAAATGAATGTGTTCCAAAACTTTAGGGAATTTTCGACCTTACTTAGTTTTCCCACGTAAAAACTGAAAATTTTTGATACTCGACTTTATTAGTTAGTTTTTGAAATTTCAGTATTTGTCGCCGGAATCCCGAATCAATATCATTACGGGACCGAATATGGTAAGTTACTTGTTAAAAATATTTGAATTACATTCTGGTCATTAAATCATAGAAACGTTAAGTTAATGATAAGTAAAGCTCAGAAGTAATAAACAAGCAATAAATATGAACTGGCATTATGCGAGTTTTATATTTATACTTCTTAGGCTGGAAAATCAACATATTTGAAGCAGATTTGCTTACTGCATGTGTTAGCCCAAACAGGAAGTTTTGTACCAGCAGAAATGGCGGCATTTCCAATTCTCACTCGAATCTTTTCACGCATTGGGCATAATGATGATTTGACAGCTAATTTGTCAGCTTTCGCTGTTGAGGTAAATGGCAGAGAATAGTGAGAAATTTAAAGGAATCTTTGTTTAAAATTTTGAAATTATTTAAGATTCTAATTGATGCAACAAATGCAGTTAATTAGATCATGTTTTATTTATATTTAAGGCACGAAAAAAACTGCAAAATCAAAGCATGGTGAAAATTTTCATGGTTTTTTTCTCTTCAGATGTCCGAAATGGCACCTATTTTAAGTACAGCTGATTCTCTATCATTAGTTCTTATCGATGAACTTGCATGTAGTGAGTGCTTAATTTTTTTTTTGAGTAACTTCTTTTTTTATTTTAGGATAAATATGGAGGCAGTTTTTAATTTTTGTTAACTTTATTTCTTTTCCTTTTTACTTTTCCAGTTTTTCGGTTAATTTGTTGAGTTTCGAATTCATATGTGCCTGAGCTAGCTATTGTTTATTGCTTATAAAATTATACTCTACTTTTCAATGTTTTCGAAAAGGCGTTTATTGGCTTTAATTGTTTTTCGAAAAGTGGCTAAAATAATACGAATAATAAGTCCTTGCTTCAGTAACTGCAACTATGAGACAATCATTTGCTCTTTAAATACAGTGGTGCAAGCTACTGCTTTTTTCCTTAATTGGAAAGTAACATTCAGTTAATATTGATTAGAATTTTTCAGGCACAGCATATGATGAAGGTTTAAGTATATGCTTTGCCATATGTGAAGAGCTTCTACGGAGAAAGGTTAAGTCTCTCATTTCTTCAATTTTCCTTCTGTAACATAGCAATTATATCATCGATTCAGAAAATCCAAATTGTAGGCTTATGTTGTATTCGCTACTCATTATCTTGACTTGGCATCGCTTGCAACAATGTATCCCAGTGTTGAAAAGTAAATAGAAAGTTTAACTTTTTTTGTATTGCCTTTCATCTCTTCTATAATGATAATAATTTATCAAAGATTGGTCAGTTAGTATGATTATATCTAACATAAAATGTTTGAAATGATAACAATGCTTAGATCTTCAAACTTGAAAACTGATTATCTTATCTTGCTATACCAGTAAATAGAATTGTAACTCTAAGTAATATATCATGCAGTGGTATTGTGACAACAGTCTTTATAATCTTAGTAAGAAGTTAGCAATACGAAATGATTTTTTAAAATTGGTCATCAGAAGAATTTGTCAGTTTAGTTGTTACATATTTCATTTTTAGCTTTCATTTCTCCGCTAACACAGTGAAAATCAAACAAGATGACGATAGCGAAGTGGAAAAACTTCACTGTTCTCATCAACTCTATACTGGTCCATACAATGGTCCACTTTATGGTAAGGCATATATCACATATAACAATTCTTTTTTCTCCTTCATCCATTTAACTTATTTCAAAGTGTTAGCTTCATTTCTCGCTCTTCTGGTCGCTATTAATTTATATATGAAATAATGGTATATCCTCAGCAGTTCCCACTCAACATTGTCTTTTTTTTTTCTCCTTGTTTATCAGAGTTTGTAAAATGTGACATTGGATGTGACTATTCTATATGTGACATTGGCACATGACTGTTCCGGATGCATGTTTAATGACAAGTGGGAATGTTTCACTTTCTATGACAAATTCCATCTTTTAAGACTTCCTATGCTTATCCTAGTTTAATCACTGACCGAAGGTGTGAAAGTAACGTTAAAAACGTAATCACGGCTACATTTTCAGCATTTAATTTGGCTGATCTAACAACTTTTCCGAGAGAAGTACTAACTGAGGCACATACATTAGCCATGTCCTTACGCACACAACGTAACGTGATGGTCGAAATGGATGATGAAATGCGTCAACGTCGTTCTATTATTCGATTTGCATGCAAGTTACGTTCTATGCTACCACTTCTAACAAAAACAGATACCGATGCTGCTGCTCCTTATCTTTCAAAATTGCGCGATCAACTTTTCCAAGATTTACCACCGCTAACAAATGATCAGTAGCTGCAGATTCTTCTAAATGACAATATTTGATATGTCTTCATTATCATTTACGTAGAAAAAAGTGCAACCATAGTTACGCTTTCCATTCGCTACACTTCACATTACTTAGATTTTCTTATTCTCACCAATGGACTATATTTTTGAATTTTGGAAATAATGAAATTATGAAGCAAGTTCAACAAACACGTTCACAAAATACTGAAAATAGTACCTAAGAATAAATAATGGTGGCAGTTTTTAATTTTTGTTAACTTTGTTTCTGTTCCCTTTGCAATTTTTTTCTTTTTTTCTGTTAATTTGTTGAGTTACTGTCTGTAAAATTATGCTTCGTGTTGTAATGAAATTTGTGAATAAATCATAAGCATTATTTTTGGAAAATATTTTTTCACATTGAATATTCAGTATTTGAAACCTAATATATGAAATATTTGAAACAAATAAGCTTTATTCTTAATGTTTTCGAATTTAATTCTTTATTTTTTCACTGAAAATTCATTCAGAAGTTTCAACAGTATGATACATCTTTAAGCAATGGTTTAAACCACGCGGGATTCCCCCGATTAAAATCAGAAATCACTACGTTCCTAAAGTGGTCTTTCTATCCTCTATTGCTTAGCAGATGATCATATCATACTCTACGTATAGAAATAATTCAAAACTGTAATCATCAAAGACGAAAATGTCAATTTCATTTAAAAATCCGGAAGTTTGCTACTTGTTGTTGCTAATTTACATCCAAATTTTGTTCAGTTATTCTTTATTCTATTTCTGAAAGTTGTATTAAGATAAAATATCTCCAAATTTCATTTTTATATTTCAACAGCTTTATCATTTTCTCAAATTGTTAAAATTAATAAAAAAGGTCCAACAAATGCACATTATTCATTCATTCCTATCATAAACGAATAGTGAATAACTTGTGAGAAGCTACATCTAAAAGAAATTAAAATATTTTTATATATGGTCCGAGATACTTCTTCTTTCATTACGCGTATAAATATTTGTCTCAGTAATTTCTTTTTTTTCTTTTTAAATCTGTAAATTCTAATAATTGTTTTTAAAATGTTTCTTTAACTTCTTGTTTTAAATTGGTATTATTATATTTTATACTACTTTTGATTTCTTTTCTGCTGTTTACTTTTAATCCCAATAGTACAGACTGGCATTTGAATTCATCATATTCATGTATGATAAATTGCTATTATTATACTTCTAGCACAGTACTTTTGATATTTTTCAGATTACTACAAAATATGGAAAATGATTCGATATTGAATTTGATAACAATTACTGTTATTTTATAAGAGTTGCACATTGGAAGTAAATGATCGCACGCATGAGGTTGAAGTGCATGATAGCGTTAAGTAATTTTTTATAATCAAATCAAATTTCAGTTAATATTGTTGAGATTAAAAGTTGATAACCGAAAAGAAAGTCAGCTATAAAAAAAATGTTCAAAGTGATAATATATAAGTGAATAATATAGCATTATTAAGACGTAGGAATAAAATATCATTTATAATTTATATCTCTTGTAGAGTTTTTTTCCTATTTTTGCTTCAGAATCTTAAGTGAAACTTTGTAACTAATTTTTGAGGTAATATTAAATCCCAATTAGACTAAACTGAAAATATTTAATCACAGTATCCTAAATATAGAGTTTTAAATGAAATGGCTAATCCGAACGAAACAATCAGACCATTTGGTTGCCACTATTATTAATGGTTGGTCCGATCATGAAATGTGCTGGTTAAAGCATTTTCAACGAGAAAATTAGTACATTCGGTCGCTCCCGGGTGGGCTTGAACCACCAACCTTTCGGTTAACAGCCGAACGCGCTAACCGATTGCGCCACGGAAGCAGGTGTCTCCACGAGAGTCGAGAGATAATAGAAAAATTTAAGCCTAAAATTTGTTATTTATTAATATGTTTCATTTTAAACGCTCATAAGCAATTAAATAAATTATTTTATCAGTGTATTATTTATCAGTGAAAAAGTTTGCAAATGAAGAGGAAGAGAGAAGAAAGATAGAGAGAGCTGTAAGAATTGAATTGTCACTTTCGAGACGAATCCTTGCAAAAGCTTTAAGTTACTTTTAGTTAATATTTATTGCTGTTGTTGTTATTGTTGTTTCTGCCTTTTAATATCTAGAATTTAACACAAACATAAGTGAATTAATGATTTAATTTTAAATGCATCAAAACTGTCGCACATATATTTTACTTTCCAGTAAATGGTCGTATCTGTAAAAGAAAAATGCAATCAGTGAAGATGAGAATGCTTGTATGAAAATGTAGTCTGCTTATAGATGTTACTAGTATGCGTATGAATTTGAATTTGATTAAGTCTTTATCGTACTTCCAAATTTTTGATTATATTTCTGAGTTTTAAATGTTTGATTTGTATGTACATTTTCGAGGAATATTCATCGCAGTAAATGATACTGGTACAAATATTTTAATCTTTTTACTTTTACAGAAGCTAATATTTATCAACACACTGTTTGGTTTCTTGTTAGTGTGATAAACGTGAAAACAAAAACTCAAATCTAATGGATGATGAATTTTAACTGGGCCAATGAATTAGCAAAAAATGCGTTAAAAACGGCTCAAAAACGTATCGATTCCGTGCTTGATATTGCCCCAGGAGATGAAGTTCATTTTATTACTGTTTGCATTCTTTTTGTTGTAGGATTTATTCTCTTTCTAACATCTTGAAGGTTGTTCCTGATTTATCTTGGCTACTATTTAAAGAAGTACTGAAGTTTAGGCAGAAAATGATGAGGACGCTAGTGGTATAATAATTTCTTCTGAAAATGAAACGCTGGAACATGGGAAGCAATCCGAACATCATGAAAATTGGGAAGAAGCAAATTCTTCATTCACTTCTGCATACGATGGAACTTCAGTAAATCAGTTCATTTATCTTGTATAGTACAATGTATTCTTTATTTCACAGTTTTATCAAATTTGACAAGTTTTAACACTTGATAAACTTGTCATTTGGAAGAGATGCTGTTAACGCGCAGAAACAAATTTGTAACAATTTTTGAGGATCAAAATACGACGTTGAGAAAACCAAAAATATAAATTCATCGGAGTGGAGATCTAAGTCGGTTAAATAAGTTACTTAATGCTGCATTCATTGAATTGATAATTTAACAGGATGGAATTTATGTTATTAGAAATTTCTTATTGTTACTTCTAGGGCGTTGAAGTTGTGGATTCTGAACCTAATCCTATTCGTGATAGTCACCATGCTGGATTATTACCGCATTCACCGTGTTCGGTAAGAAAGTATGAAACAAGTGTGTGCGTGTGTATTTTATAACATCTCTGGGTTTTTATATCGTATCTCAAAAAAGATTTGGAAATAGTAATTTTTTCATTTTGATTTCATAATGTCCGAGGACAATAGAAGATTTTGTCAGCAGTGACATTTAAAAGAAATCTTCAAGAAATTTAAAGTCAATATGTTAACTAATTAATCAAGGTTCTTCTAAATCAGGTAAATTAATTAAGCAGTCAGAAGCAAGTCGAGTGTTTACCAGAAATATATAGATTTTCAGAATTCTCCGGAAGAAGAGTTGGTGTGTAGTGGAGAAGAGCATGGAGAGGAGCAAGATGCCTTACGTCTAAACGATACCGAAAAACATAAGGATTCACATCTTTTAGAGGTAGACCAACTAAAAGCTATTATTGTCATTGCATTTTTTCAGTGTTATGGAATACTTTACACGTACAAAATTCTGTCTCAAATAATTATTAAAGAGATTGAGCTAATTGCTGTTTGTGACAATGAGATCAGATAACACGAATTGTCACAGTTGATTGAGCGAAAATAGTTCGATCATTTATTTATTTCGTTTTGTAATCTGTTATTGCACCTTCATCACCAGACCGAATAAATCATGATAGCACATTACTATGATGGGAAAATCTCTCTTTTGATACTAGACTATGATTACATTATTTGATTTTTTTTCCTCACGGGACCATTGTTGTTACAGTCAACTGTTTACGAAGATACCAAGCATTTTGTTGCGGGAAATTCATCCTATAGGAACGATAAGCATCATGATGATACCTTGACACTTATATCAAGTGACTTCGAAGTACTTCGTCAAAGTGATTCTTGGTGCGTATACTTAATTTTCATTTTTTTTTAAAATTGTTGACTCTCGGCAAATTATTCGAATATAGCATATCTGTTAGAAATTATTTTCAAATTGTAAAAAAGGAATGCGGTTCTAGCTCGATGGCAAGCAGTGTACCGCCAAAAACTCTCTCCGTTTCGTCACCAGATGCAACAGTAGAAACTTGCCAGCAGGTAAGCGATGTTAATATGTGTCTAAGCATTTTTTCTATAGGGACTATTGCGATACACATGATTGTCTAATTATATGGTAGTTAATCACTAGCTACAAATATTTTTATTAGTTCTCGAGAGCTGTTTATGATATTAGTTGTCAACTAATCCCGTTGAGTCAGATCCTGGTCGGCACATTTAGTGTTATGGTATGTATTCCAAGTAATGATTTTTTGGGTAGAACTACAGTGAAGGTACCATATAAAGAAGTTCGTCAAAAAAGAAGAACTTGTATCTTTTTATAATTTGTATCTTTTCTCCAAAACATAGGCTATAATTTTTTCCCTTTTGGATGTGTAAATAAATTTAATAATTTTTGTTGGTTTTATAGGCAAAAGAAGAAAGCGATAATAATTTGACTGGCAAGCAGCAAACTCATGCTGAAACAGCTCATTTGAGGACACAAATTCAGTATCAGGAAAGACGAATTCGTGATCTTCAATTCCAGAATCAAAGACTAGAAGCAAAATCCAAAGAATTGCTTGCTCTAAAAGCGATGCGAACACAGCAGAGGTGTTTTTGGAATTCTTTAATTGCTTGGGAAAAATTGTAACTTTCAAAAACTCGTGTTGTTATTGTACTTTTTTTAGCACAACAGAAGCAAAACTTCTGAAGAAACTGAACGAGAAAGAAACGAAATTAGCAGATCTTCTACATGAAGGTAAGTCTTCTACTGATTAATGCTGTGGTTATTTCTAGAGTAGTGATCATCATGATGTGGTGAACTTTACTTTCTTAGCTTCTACTATGACTTTAATAAGCTTAAATGTAGGTGAAAAATTAGCTGAAATGAATGGAAAATTGACGAAAGAGCTAAAAAGACTTAGAGCCAGCCTCGCCGAACACGAGCAGTTAGCAAAAAAAAGTAGCGAGGCAGAAACTGATCGAGATCTGGCTCGTGATGAAGCGCGAACTCTTGCAACAGAAGTTACAAAATTACGGAGTAAGTTTCACGTGCTTTATTATATTTCTTTCATATTTAGAGCTAATTAGCTGTTTTTCTAGCCATGATCAAATCTTTGGAAAGTAATTTGGCGGAATTAAAAGTAACAAATGAAGGTTTAACAAGTGATTTAAAGAGGAAGGACGATAAGATTAATAAACTGCTAGCAGATGTTCAGCAGTCAGAAGCAAGTCGAGAATTAGCTCACGAAGAATTGAAGGTATCATTGATTTCTGACTTGTTCAGGCTTAGTTTGTCAACAATAGTTTTTTTTTTGTTTTTTTGTTTTTTGCTGAATGAAGCCCATATACACTTGTGCATGATAAAATATCGTTGCTGTAAACTAACTATGGCTTATTGAAAATTTAAATGAAATTCAGCCTTTCTTGAATCATTTTTTCCCCTTCATTAAGGAACACCTTTTTCTGAATGTTGAAATTTGATCGTACAAAGTAAAAATTCATTCATTAGATATGAAGTGTTTATTCCATAATGTCTTGGGTTTTTTCATGGAGAAATTTTTAGGCTTGTAAAGTGGAATTAGAATTGTATCTTTCTTTTACCTTTCAGAGACTGGGAGCTGCCTTTGAGGAGGCTTCGATCAAAGTTAAGCAAAAAGAAATGTCGTCAAAGAGTATCGAAGAGATCACTCGAGGTTGGATCATGATGTTTTTTGCTCATAATGAGTTATTTTTGTTAGTAGCATGCTAATGTTGCATTTATCGAAGAAAAACTGAAATATAAAACGTTGAATCAGTTACATTATCAAGTTGTTAAGCTATTTGCTGTAAATTGCAAATTTTGAAATAATTCCGGTTATTTTTCAATATCAGCTGTTTCTCTGTGAAATTACGACGATTAAGCATTTTTGATTTTGAGATAGGTATAAGAAGTTTTCGAAATTTCAGAGCTTTGTTATAGGTTTAAATGCAGATCTTGAAGAAGAGAAAAAGAAAAATGAACAGCAATCAACCTACATAGACTCGCTGGAAAAGGTTGTAATAATAATAATTTGTGTAATACAATTGTAATAATTTTTTTTTGTGCAGTTATGAATAACATGGCTTATTATCACAGTTTTCCGCAGTACAATAATCCAAACGAATGTGAACCCACATACAGCTGGAAGATTCTGTTTTTATGGTAGTTTGAAAGCTATCACTATGACATTATCATGTAATGCATTAGCAATATGCTAATAGCGAGTCTTCAAAAATTTTCAGGATAGTCTTCAAGAATTCCTTGCATAGTTATCATTTTAATCATTTCTTGTAGTGAGAATGATGATAGTGGTATTCTTTGTATTTATTATTTTTGTTTCAGAGACTTGGTGAAATGATGGAAGCAAATCAGAATAATGCTGAGATGATTGCTAATGGTAAATTTTCTGCATTCATCAATCATCTGTTTCAAAATCATTATAAAGAAGCAGTAAAACTATTCGTTTCACAGTATTTCAGCTTGCATATGATGGTTCTTAATTTAGTTAGTGCTCCGTTACTGGAATCGATACAGCATTTAGAAGAAAAAGTTTCGGCAAAGGATAAGGAATACGAACAAACTATATGCGAAAAAGAAGTAATTATAAATGCACTGAACTCGGAAAAAGGTATTTATGTATCAGTTAAATATTTGCAATGGTTAACGATCCGAGGTGGATAAAGCTCTGCTGTAGTTTACGAGACGAAATTCGTTTTCTGAACCAAAAAGTTTAAAATTTTTGAACGTTTTGTTTAATTTGACTGTTAGTTTGGGTGGTTATGCATGAAAGCCCTTTATATGCATCTGCTCCTTGTTTGATACTCAACGATGTTTCATCCACGTGCATATATTAAATATCCAAGTTGAATAAAGCGATAAAAAATTCTGATTTAAGAATTTTTACTTTATTGATACTTTAAATTCCTGTATGCTAAAAAAGTTTTTCTATTTATTCACAGTTCTCCAAATTTTGATGTTTATTTAACTGGCAGAAATAATTCGTTTACCGAAAATGATTATCAACAATCAAATATACTATCTGAAACTACTTCTTTTTCAGGACACATTGAAATTGAAAATGAAGAAACAAAAAAAGAAAACGAAAAGGTGAGAAATTGCTGATTTGGGGGGAAGTTAGAATAATTGAAATCTTGTGCAAATATCAGGAATTATTGGTTTTTTTTTTTTTTTTTTTTTTTTTTTTTTGTTATGTTGGAATGATTAATTGTTAGACAGAAGCAGCCAACTAGTGACAAGTAGTAAGAAAAAGAATAGTGTAATTTTCCAATTGAAAAAGGGAGAGAGAGAATGCCAGGAAGGAATAGAGATGGAAAGAGTGGGAAACAATGAATTAAAGAATAGGTGGTGTGTAATGGAAGAAAACAACGACGACATGAAGTTCTGATGGTACGAATGGTGGCAGTATGGATCGGTCTTGTTCACAGAGAAACTCTCAAGTTTGGGAAGAATATTTTAGTACCTTTGCGTCACTAATTTACTATTCTCAATTAATAAATAGCAAAACGCAAATTAAGCTATTCAATTAATTTGCGTTTTGGTACTGAACTAAATATAGTACATATTTTACTTCATCGAAATGTAAACATCGCCCCTCAAACTTAGAAATTATATTGTTGAACAGAGAGAGAGAGAGAGAGAGAGAGAGTTATGTGGTAAGTGTGAACGAGGGCGTCTCTTGGTTCGTTTATTATTTTATCATTTGGAAGCATGTAATCAGAGTTGTTTTGCAAATGTGAACCTGGAGACGCCAAGGCATTTTCATTTTTGTAAACAAAATTTTCAGTGAATGCTTGCCGAAGCGTCTCTAATTTCACTGTTTGCAGGATGACAAGAATATTAATGCTGAAAATATGACATGTCATTCTGATACTATCAATGATTCGAGGCAGCTATCAGGAAGTGAGGAGAAATTGAAAGAAATGAGGACACGATCAGATTTTATATTTTTAAATGAAATTGGTGAAGGATCATTTTCTACGGTATATCATGTCAGGGAAAGAAGTACTGGAAGAGAATTGGCAGCAAAAGTATGCTTCAAAAAGCAAATAATTCGTGAAAAAAAAATCGATTATATATTTCGGGAGAAGGAAGCTCTGATACGATTATCGAACAGTGATGGGAAGCATCCATTCCTGGCACAAGTCATGTGCACATTTCAGGATATTGAAAATCTTTATATCATAATGACTTTGGCAAAGAAAGGTGATTTATTGAAATTAATGCGAAAATCAGGCGGAAGATTTGATTTGAACTTGACACGATTTTATGCCAGTGAAATTGTTGTAGCGCTGGACCATATACATTCGTTGAAGATAATTCATCGTGACCTGAAGCCGGAAAATATTCTAATCTCTGAGACAGGTCATATTCTTGTTTCTGATTTTGGTTCTGCTAAAATTCTTGATCGCGCAAAACCAACTAGACAAATGAATAGGCCAGAGAGTCAAAAGCGACGAGGTTCTTTTGTTGGCACGGCGCAATTCGTTAGTCCAGAAGTTTTAAAAGGTGAACCAGTACAACAGGCTTGTGATTACTGGGCTTTGGGTGCCATCATTTATCAAATGCTTACTGGTAAGCATGCATTTCATGACATATGTGAATATCTCATTTATCGACGAGTTATGAATGCTACATATAAGATTCCGGATAATTTTCCTGAAGTTGCGGCAAGTATTGTGAGGAAATTTCTAGTTGTAAAAGTGAGAGATCGTTTGGGTTCTGTCGAGTCCGGTGGAGCTGAAGCTGTGAGGAAAGAACCGTTTTTCAATGATATCCAATGGGATCGAATTACGGAAATCGAAGTACCGCAAGTGCAATTCAGTTCCGAAGAATGTTGATAGTGTAATAAGAAAGTGATTTAGAGGATAGTAGTTCTCTCATATTTTGTGATATAATAGAATATGAAAAATTGTGACATTAATTGTGAAGGAATGGATCAGTATATGCGTATCTTTCGCGTATATTATAATTCATAATTTTATAAGGTATACTCTTCTAACGTAACATCTTGAACCTGTTCGTTTTCTTTTTTTTTAAAGTTTTAGCCCCACAAAATATTGGACGTATTATTTATACTTATTTTTTGTAGAAGTAGTGAATTTCAAATGTATTCTTTTTAAGTAAAACATGATTTATATTACAATTTTAAGGAATATTAGGAACTTATATGTATATTATTTAAAATTTCTTTGTGTTTATAAGATTTTTAATGTTGTGGGTGTTAAATGAATAACGAATGAAATTATTTATTTCATCCACTATTTATAGCTTTCACAATGAAATTTACTGCCTAATTTAATATTTAGAAGTATTTTTTTTTCAGTTTCCACTTGTTGATGTTTTCAGTTGTTTTTAATTATTTTACGCTTTTTTCTTTTGTGTGTGTGTGTGTGTGTTTTTGTTTGTTTGTTTGAATAAACAATACAAATAATAATACGAAAAAAGATACGATAGATTGTATTATAAATATGTGAGAATAAACAAAGAGTACTGCTAGTAGAATGGTTTATGAACTGCAAGGAGTCTTAAATGGAGGAAAAATATTTGAATTCAATTCACCTCATATTATTATTTAGTATTTAGTGTTAAATAAGTTTGAGTGAGAGGTTTCCAAAAAGATTTAATGCAAAATGTATTGTTTGTTGTTTCATTGTACAGATATCTTGTACGGTATTTTTCCTGAGAAGGTCTGATATTTGATGCATAATGAAGTTTAATGGTACCATTGAAATTAATGAGGGTTACTTAATACGCTTGTAAATTTGGTACATTTTAAAATAGCTGAATATCGGAATTCATTAATATGTCTCTTGCTTTTGATATTATTGCCTGATATAAATAGCTAATAAATCTAAGCTGTCATATTGTATTGATTCTGGGGTATGTTTTATTCCTTATTTAATGTATTTGCTATTTCTTTTCCACAGTGATGTAATGTTTTTCCTTAACTTTTTTTTTTTGTTTTTAGCTACGAGAACGTATACAGGGAAATTTGGTTACAATAGAAAAACTTAATGAACATGTTCGACAGGTTGAGGAGCAGAATTCGATGTTAGTTTTTTTTGTTGTTGTTGTTTTGTTTTAAGAAAAATGCTAAAGCTTTTGATTTTGGATTGGATAATTGCACAATATATGCTATGATCTCAGTTCGATTTTATCAGCTGATATTAGAGTGTCGGGTGGTTCTGTATCGCTAAAAAAAAGTTTTTGATTTCTAAAAATTTTTACGAACTCATTTGGAAAAAAAGTAGTGAGATGTGTGATAAAATAATGGCAGCGAAGTCTTTTTCAAGATTGGAAATTAATTCAAGAAAATTACTGCATAAAATAGAAGAATTGACGAAGAAACTGAGCGAAAAAGAAGATGAAATTGGAATGTTTTATGTACGGTTGAACAATGAAACGGATGCACTCAAAAAATGCATTATACAAAAAGTGTAGTTTTATGCCATTTCATATTTATTAATTATATTATTTGCTTGTTCAGCCGTAGATTTGCCAAGTTGAGAAGGTTTCTAAAATTGTATTTTGTTAGAAATATTTTTGTCGGATTTATTTTTTCACTCTTTTGTTCTTGGGACTATATAATTATTATATCATTAATGACGAAGGAATTTAAGGTTCCAATTAATATTTCAGATATTTTTTGGTAAATTTTTCAATATAAGCGATATTTTTTGAAAGTTTTAGCAAAGTGAATTAGATGATGCTAAGAAATATTCTGATCTTTTGGAGAAAGAATTGCATAAATGGAAGATGCAAAGTGATGAATGTTTATTGGAGCGGGAAAAGAGACAAGATCATTGTCCATCAAACGGTGGTCCTTTTATGCTCACTATACCAAATCATACGATTCAGGTTTTTTTTTTTTACTACCGTGTGGTATTCGTTTGACTAGTGAACAAAAGATGTTGGATCAGAGTTCAATTTAAATTTTAATACAAATTTTGTGAGAGAACGAAACTGTTTGCGTTAACAGACTAATAGAGAACTAGGTTGAGAAAATATTTGTCAAGAAAATGAAATAAGTGTGATCAAATGTCTTTTAAAATTTAGTATTGGGGTCAAAGAACGATTTCTTTGATTAAAAAAAAAGATTTTTTGGTTGAGACTCTCAGTAAGTTTTCATTTATTTTGTCTTTAGTAAAATAGTACATTTATGTCTAAAAGTTCATGTGTTTAAGGTAGAGCTAGCTGATGCTTTAGCTAAATATGAGCAGTCTATGCGACAAATTTCGATACTTGAAGAGAAAATTTCGACAATGGAAGCCGAAAGTCAATGTTTAGGGTCACTTCGACATGAATTGCAGGTTTGATTTTTCTTTTTACTAAGTTAACGAGTTTGCCAAATTACTTTATCATTACCTTATCATTTTCTCTTTCAGAAGGACCTACGCATGAATACGGAATAAGGGAGGAAAAATAAATGCCAGGGAAAATGAAATAGGTGTTATTGAGTTTTAATCCTTTCATGGAATTTCTTTTCATTGCTTGAGATATTCAGCTGTGAGATAGTTTAAAAATTTAAGTTGGGAAAAAGATAGTTTGATAAAAAAATATTTTCATGTTTGACTGTCTTTAATTGTAACTCAAACTGCAGATCCCTTCCCGGTGGAAGCACATTAAACCAAAGCAAAGAATAAGATTTACAGACACTGAGGTCGCGTTATGAAAATTTGTTGGAAGCACACGGTGAGAAAATTGAGCGAGTTGAAGAACTTGAGTTGGATTTAGCTGACCTGAAGAAACTATTAAAGGATCAGGTAATCACTTCAATGTTAAACTGGAAGCAGTGATATTTCAACTTTTTAAGAATTAAGGACTCATCTTTCATGAGTAAAGTTACGTCCTGATTGGGGCAACCTGAGATTTTGTTTAATTTGACTTGTTGGTTTCTAATTCCATTTTTTTCTTCTAACATTCTGAATAAATACAACTTCCAAGTGACATAACCCAGAAACGTAATTATTTCCGGAGGAATTCTCTCATTTCCATTCGGTCAATTACTTAGATTCCTAGTTTTCTTAACTGCAATTAAATTTTTCAGATGGAATACTTCTTGGAGAAAAGCTGAGATTATTAATCGTCGAGTAAATTCTTCAAGATAGCTGTGTAATAGATATAATAAATATTGATGGACCTACTAAAAAAAAATTTTTCAAAAAACGACTCAGAAAATAGCCATTTCAATTTAAAGTTATTTGTTAATAAATGTTGTTTCCTAGGTTTCAGAAAAATAATTGATGGAAGCCTGCTTTCTGGAATTCAAACTTCCATTAGGCACAATGTATTGAGCATTATGGACTTCTTAGTTTGTTTTGACCACTTGACTTGAAAGTTTCGAAAAAATGATCTGGAATGATGTGCGACTTATCTGTATATGCATGAGATTTCGGTTGTTGTTACCACAGGTTTAGATTATTCATTTTTTTAACTTAATTGTTTTTAGTGACACATACTAATTTTAGCTAGTACCAGTCTGGTTTTGTCTTGCGATTTCTTGTTCTCAGCAAAAGCTAAATTGCCTGTCGAATTGCAGAATCAGATTAATGTTAGGCTCAAAAGTATAAAAAAATTATGCGTATTTTCCCATATCTTTTACGATTTCTTAACCAATGTGTGCTAAAATGTCTGTGATACTTAATTTTTCCAATTTCAATTTGATGATTATAGTTTTTCTGTTCGGTTCTAACGGGTTTCCAAAAAAAAAAAAATTGGATAATATTTGCATGATATATATTTTGTAAAATTTAAATGTCGCCCGCATACCATTCTTTATCTGCACGATAAGAAAATTGGTTTAATAAACTTCTTTTGCAGGTATATATATATACCATCTTCCAAATTTCGACCAAAATTTGCATTTTATGCATAAATAAATATAAGTCACAAGAAACTGTTCTGTTTGTGTACACTTGGAAATGATTATGTTTTTCAGATGAAAATAGTACAAGTCCATTCTAGGTGAGCATTTGCTCATAATTTGCTTCGAGGGAACTACGATAATTTAAATATATATGTATAGACGGAAATTTTTGTGAACGTATAAATGCACTGACTGCTTCGTAAAATTACGTAAAGCATCATTAAGCATACTTATATCGTATGCACAAGCATCGTTATATATGCACAGGTGTACATATATATCACTATGCACATACTTATGCAATCAGTAGTTAATGCACAGAATTATCACTTCTCCTGTATACATTATGACATTACAAAAACGAAAAAGAAAAAAACAAAGGTTCATCTTTTCATTCTTATGCATTACATTTTTACCATAATTTCGTAACATATAAAATAATAGAAATAGTTAGACAACATTATAGCAAAAATTCTGGCGTAAAGATTGAAATTACTGTAAAAAGTGAAGTTAATATGAAAATTGGAACTAATGTAAAAATGGAGTTGATAAAAAAAAGTGAAAGGAATTAAGTTTAAATTTAACCTGACTGCAACAGGGACATGTACTTAACCATGCTATATGAGCTGGAGTATTTCATCACGTCCCAACCAATTGTAATTGAATTGGAATGACGTCATGAGTCGATGAAATACATCGGGACGTTCTGCAAATGATATAGTAGAGAGTTGTCAGCATGTGTGCTTTCTTATTCATACTTGTTGTGCATAATAATATCATTAATGTGATCATATTAATTAATTGAAAACCATTAAAGAAAACAATTGTCATTAGTTCGAGTATTTCTCAATGATTTCAATTCTTACAATTATATTTATTTAAACTAATCATTATTATTAAGCATATTTCCAGACGAGACCAACAGGGAATCGCTTCGAGTGCATCGGTGGAGCAAAGCTCCTAATATATTCA